AGTGTTTAGAGCAGTCAAGAGCTCTTAAATCGAGCAGAGAATTTGCTGATGAAATTAAGAGCCTGATACCGATATCAAAATCGATAGCTTAACACCAGCTGTGACATCACCACATACTTGGTTTTAAGACGATGATTTAAAAATAGTTCTTCAAAACTAAAGATATCATGAAAAGTACAGAATAAATTTACACCCACCTATTTCTCTGGTCTTAGAAAATAACTCATTTTACACGAAAGAATATATGAATTACCTGTTTCACATATTTTTATTTGATCGTCGTTCCGCGTTGACTGTGTGCGGGTACAACACTAACACCGAACTGGAAATCAACATTTGCTTAATCCCTAGGGGCTAGTGTTAGTGAATAGGACATTTGTACGTAAAATATTAACACCAGCCACAAAGGTCGGTTCAGCAGACGACAATTTTGCAAAATCGATAACACTAGCTACCGGAAGTTGACGATATTCAGAGGTCAAAGCCTTAACACCAGCTGATTTCCATTTCGGTGTTTAGGCTGGTGTTAGTGTTTATTAAACACTAACACCAGCCTTAAACACCCAACTTGAAATCACTCACTGTATTTTGGTCAAAGGAATAAGAGCCCAGACAAGTGCTGGTGTGCTTTTGCTAAAGGGCTCTTGGTTTACCTTCAATTCAGTATCTCCACATGAAAAGTACTAGCACCAATACTTCTCACACCACATGAGAACAGAGCCGGTGATATCATCATCATCATCATCAAGTATTCAAGTCAGCATTTCCCCTTTTTCTATGGGTTACTGACTTGCACCATGATGGCACTCCCTCCCTCTACCTCTTGCGTGGAGTATCGATCCTCCAAATTAGTGGAGAAATTTTCTTTCCTATGACATTATACTCCGTAGCACTTCCACTTTTAAAACCCTCAATAAATCTTCACTCTTGTATCATGTTACCAATATGTTTTGACAGTTATTGGGTAATTGCGATCTTATTATGTGTGTTCCTTGTTTTTGCAATTTTACTCAAGATAATTAATCATAATTATCCAATAACTTGCAAAATATAGGGTAATTCAATTCAATTATTATTGATCTTTACTTTTACTTCATGTGAACCCTTCACCTTTTTTTCCCTCCAATTAATTTAACATTAATGTCTTCTCTTCCCCTTTTCCATCTGTCAACCCATCTCCCTTCCCCCCCCCCCCCCCCCCCCCCCCCCCCCCCCCCCCCCCCCCGCCACTCTTCCCTCTTTTTATAAGGTAAGAGGTAAGAGAATAAGATCTTGTCTCATCTCATTTTTATTACAGGGAAGTCTTATTAGACTGTGCACCAGAATGTGAAGACCCTTACCTATTTAAGAATGGACAGACCCTAACTAATAGCTCCGAATTGTTTGGGGTAAGTCATTATTTCAATCAATCTAACCTTATACATAAACAGTTGACAATTTAATTATGCATACCCCTCGTGAATCTGATGTTTTTGTGTTTTTCGTAGCTCAAGAATGAACGATAAACTGGTTGAATTAGGGCCTTTGTTAATTGTTTTTAGATGTAAGCTTTAATGCCACATTTTCAAGAAACATAAATCAAGACAAATCAATTTTTCTAAAATTACAAAACTTGGTAAGAGTAAAGAATAATTAAATTGTTAACTGTAGATGTAGACTGTTGCTAATCTAGATTTTGACTTTGCATTTATGTAAACAGTGAATTGAATAGTTGGAGGGACATCTTTGTGAATTTACCCAGTCAAATTGGTTTGCCGCTGCTCACATGATGTTGTGTTTCATTAATCTATAAAAAAACAAAAGTAACAAACATGTCGTACACAAATTTGTGAAGCACACAATGTAAAATTGGGCAGGTGTACACTCAAATCAGTGAAAGGCCACATCTCTTTATATTGCATATAATTGTGGGAAGAAGGAGTAGGGGGAGAAGGAGGATAGTTTGGATGGACAATCTGCAGAAATTGTTGGAAGAGAGAGGAGTGAAAGAATTGGGAGTGGTAATAATACAGAAGGCTAGGAGCCGAGGGTTGTGGAACGGCATGATCGCCAAAGCCAAACAATATGGCACTTAGAGAGAGAGATATCATTACTTTTATTATTCCTTTTCTCAATTATCAGCAAACACTGGGTGAAACTGGTTATTCAACCAGCTTGGATAAACCGGAAGCTGGTCTTGACGCGTTGCTTCAGGTCGCTGTTTGTGACGAGGTTGTTGGATGGAGGGATAGTGCTCGTCATCTGGTTGTATTCCTAACAGATGCGCCATACCATGCAGCAGGTGATGGTCGGGTAAGGCACAAGATGATTGGCTATATTACGAAGCTGAGGAGAAACTATTGGGGCTTCATTGATACCCAGGGTCAGGGTTAGAATGAGGGTAAAAAGTAGGGGTTAGGGTCAGGGTGAGGGTTAGGGTGAGGGTGAGTGTGAGAGTTAAAGTAGGGGTTAGGGTCAGATGAGAGTTAGGGTGAGGGTTAAAGTAGGGTTTAGGGTCAGGGTCAGAGTTAGGATGAGGGTGACAGTATACAAATATTGACTGCTCATGAGGATGATGATGGGAACTATCACTCCCAAGGTGGTGTTCACAGCGGCCCTTCTATCACCCCGAGGCGAAGCCGAGGGGGTGATAGAAGGGCCGGTGTGAACACCACCGAGGGAGTGGTAGTTCCCACCATCATCCGATTACAGAGCAGTCCATATTTGTGTTATATACCTCATCCTTTTTATTGATTCATGATTAGGTCTAGCTGTAGGTCTAGATCTAGCTCTAAAAAACAGGAAACGAGATCAAGAGGAATTTACTCACCCGAATAAGAAAAATCCAACATTAAGTCCAAGGCAAGAGTATTGAATTCCTACGCGCTGCGCGTAACCGCGCGATTGCGGTAGCCTAGCAACTCAAAAAATTTGTGTGCGCAACTAAGTCGCGGGAGGGGTTAAGGGTCCTATCCCAGGGTTTGATAGTAGCTATCAAACCCTCTGACGTAATGATACTTGATAGATCGAAATGCTCCTTGACATGTGATATAGTTTTGACCAATCAGTGAATGACAATCTATGTATGAGGTATATAATAGGGTTTAGGGTCAGGGTTAGGGCAAGGGTTAAAGTACGGGTCAAGGTTAGGATGAGGGCTAAGTTAGGAGGTTAGGGTTAACTGACTATTTATAATATTGTAGGAGCAAACGCCATGATAGCCCTGAAGCTGGTTGATACCACAGCTATAAAAGACGTTATTATTTTAAGTAATTATTGTCTTTAATGTTTCTTTTCTATGGCAGCTTGGTGGCATTGTAACACCCAACGATGGCCTGTGCCACGTCGACCCAGTGACAGGGGAATACATGATAGATAAACTCCAGGTTAGTTGACCCTAAATTTCCTTGCTAAAAATCTTTTGATCAGTTGAGAATCATCTTTCAAGTTTCAAATTTATTTTGTTTCCTTCAAGAGAACTGAGGTTGAGTACTGGTGAAGTTGAAATACTGTAGAGAACATTTTTCATTGTTTTTATCTTAGTTTTGACAAATAAAGTAACAATATCCCCTGAAAAGGATTGCTTTTCAAATGCCCATATTCAAAATTTGGTGAGAACTTCATGTACCATAGCTGGAGAGTTTGGACCAGACATGCATTTCATACTGCATGCATGTATATATTTGTATAAATTTTTTTTTTTTTTGCAGAGCATGTGACTTTCGGCAAGATCAAGTCAATTTCTTGTAATTTGGATGATTCCAAAACCTCCCCGTATACACTGATACATTGTAGCTCATCATTACCGTATTTTCCGGCGATAAGGCCGCAGCGCTGCGTAGGCCGCACCCCAACTTTGACATTTCAAAGAGGAAAAAAAAAACCGGACAAAACAAAACAATCGTAAGTTTCTTGTAAAACACTATTTTTTTTTTACAAACTGATACCAAATTCATCAATATTCTTATTGAATTGTCGGTAAGATGTGTGGAAATGTCCTGTACCATAGTGGTATAGTTATTGTACCGTTCGTAGTCCCATATGTGCAAATTCAACTTCAACCGCACCCCAACTTTTTGATATTTTCTCTTCCAAAATTACTGCGGCCTTTACGCCGGCAAATACGGTATACCTTTTACAAGAATTGCTTCCAGGCACTTTCTTTCACCATCTTATCCCTTGACCAGAACTTCAGTTTATCTTAAAACCAACTGCACACTTCCAACCGTATCTTCCTGCAATCTGATTTTTGAAGAAATGGCAATTAGATATGGAAATCTAGACAAACCTCTTCCTGATTTAGGTTCTAAGTAATGATAACAATACTAACAATGAGAATTTTAGTGCATTTAAGCCTTTAAGCATTTTTGCCGAATCGGCTTCACATCGTTCTACTGGTATGACGTCACTACTATTCTGAGATAGCTGGTAAACTCATATAAATTTGTTTGCATTCAGTGTTCATTTCAAAGATTGAACTAGAAGAAGAGTGAAATATGGAGGGGCCTATGGTGTAAGCTACATGTATGCTTGTGAGATATAGATCCCAAAGGGTAGTAAGATTTTCATAGACTTTAAAGATTGAGTAAACGATGAGCACTGGATGATTACAGCTTTTCTCCATCAACTCAAATTCAAATTCAAATTCAAATTTTATTGGTACAAAAGGAAATTTGTTGTGTTTACATGCATTATTCATAGAGAAACAGAGATAAAATATACATGTGACATGATACATACAACATAAAACAAGTATATAGAGAAAATAAACATATACATGTAGCTCTTTAACATTCTTATTATATAATAATAATAATAATATTTAAGATTTTATATAGCGCTTATTACAAATGTCTCTAAGCGCTTTACAAATATAAATATGCCTTTACTATTACCCCGGTCATTGGATTCATATATATATCTTCTCTGAATTTACATTATTTACAACAGGACTACCCATCTCTTGGTCACTTGTCGAGTCTGGTTAGGGAGAAAGATATCATCATGATGTTTGTGGTGGGGGCAGAAGTTCAGCAAACATACAGGGTAAGTCACATAACTGGGCACCTGTAGGATCAGTCAAACCTGTTTCAGCGGCCACCTCTATATAAAGGCCACCTGTCTATTGTGGTCACCTATATTGCCTTCTCTTGAAGGAAACATGTTGAAGAACCTGTCTAAAATGAGCCGTCTACAGTGGCCATTTTGGGGTGGTGTTTTTAATGATTGGGTGATCTTAATAGACATGTTTCACTGTACTAGTAATGGTAATGATGACTATACTGATGATGATAATGATGGTGGTAATGATAATAATAATAATATTGATATAGTAATGATAATAATAATGAGGATGATTATAGTAGTTATCCCTTTTAAACAGCACCTAGCCTGTGGGTGCTTTCATGGTATTTTTGAGTTCTTTCTTTGGCTGATATAATACAGGCACAAAGTTCAAGAATTGTGAAAAATAAATAATGACTTTCAATGACGTGCATACAGTCAGAATCAACTCTCATCCAATCCTATCTACCAATATGATTTCTTCAATTATTTTTCTGTAAATATTGTAAACTGTAAATATCAAATTGTAAATGGTAAATAAGTTTGAATATCAAATACACATAACTGCATATATTGATGGAACTATTCTCCATTAGCATTCTACTTTTTTGTTAGTTCCTTTTACCAAAATATGTCTATGTACACTGTATTATATCTGTTCTTTGTATCTGCAAGATGAATTTTGATAATAAATAATCAAATTAAATCAAGTCAAATCAAGTTATCCAATGTATGAATCAGACCTGGCTTCCTTTACGAGGTATGTTTTTTTTTTCCTTTTCTTCTTGTCAGGATATTTTGACGTTTTTTCCCCGGGTCGCAGATTGGAACACTTGCAGCTAACTCTGACAACATCTTATTTTGGATTGAAAATCTTTACCAGGTAAGAATTAAGACAAGTCTTCCAGTGTTGTGGTCAAAATTATTTGAGAAAAACAATATTTCTTGTAGTTCTGTATTGTTAAAGGGATTGGGTATCTCTGCCTGAGATTCTAAACAAAATCCTGGATTTAGCTCATGCTGCAATCATAATTATAAACCTTTAGGTCAGTCAGGAATCCCATGACTTTTACAAGCCGATCGCCTGTTTGATTATTAAGATAATTATGATTGGAAAATCGAAATTTCAAAAAGTTTGTGGGAATGAAAGGATTTGGAAGTCAAAAATATAAAACAAAACCAAGACACATTTACTTTCTGAAACTTCAGAAAATCACATGTGGCCAAACCCTCTTCATTATATATATCCGTGAACATTCTTTTGACCTATTGGCTTTTGATGATAAACCACAGAAAATCACATTTGTTACTTAGCTTCTGTTATATAATAGCTTTCCAAAAAAAGCTTATTCAAACATTACGCGGAAAACTGTGACAATTCTACCGTAGCAGTTCTGTGTTTATGCAAGTGCAAGTGATGACAAAAAATAGCTGCCCACAACAGAGATCCTATGCGTACTCACTTTGTGTGTCATAAAAGCTTGTTCAAACATGGCAACTGCGCCAGCTTTTTTGTGGCGGCCAGATTACTGCGCCATATCTGAACAAGCCATTAGAAATAGAAATGTGAAATTCATCATGCTTACATCATTATATACAATAACGTTCTACGACATCCTGTCTGAACGAGCCTAACTTGTTTCCTATCTGTAACTATTCATCTTCAGAAAATCACATCAGTGGTAACGCTGTCCGTTCAAGCCCCTGAAGAACTTCTCCTGGAGTTTACCTCCCATTGCGACGTCGATCCAACTGCCCCGGGGGTTCCGGGGGAGATGACCTGTGAAGGTCTGGCTATAGGAGATACCGTGTGGTTTGAAATCGATGTGACGGCAGAGGAATGCATAGAGGGCGGCACCACAAGGTAATAATAGTCAACATTTATAATGCGCCATTTCTGTCAAAATTGACACACCTGGCGCAGTTGTGTGAAAAATATATATTTGTGGGCATATGACCATCAAGGGATTCAAGAAAGAAAGTAAAATACACATAAGTTAAAGTTTAACATGCTTCAGGACATAATTTTGCAATAATAGAATTACAATATTTAAAAAAAAACTAAAAGCAAGGTTACATACCGGTACGCTTAATATCTACACAGGTATGAATTGAAACATATAGGATTTACTGTTGTTAATATCCAATACAAAGCATATTACAGTAATACAAATTATATAAGGGTAGTACAATGTATGACATAACTAGCAAACTAATATGTTGAGAACAGAAACGTTTTTAACAGAGACTTGAACTGTGAGTAGAAGTTCTCAAAGGTACAAAGAATCCCATTGCTGATCAGAATTTTCTCAGGGTCTAAACAAATCGGTTTGGCCTTCTCCTCAAATCGGCGCTGGTTATTATTACCTTTCATTCTCACATTTATAACACTTAATTACCCAGTTCAAGTGAAAATCACAAAATGCAATGAGCAGTTGTTACTTTGTACATGTACATATATATTGATATACATGCAAAGAATTCCCCTCTGTTGCTTGCAGTTCAGTAGAAACCTTCAAAACCATAATCTGGGAAGCAATCCAAAAGGGCAACATAATTATCAGCATTGTCCTTCCCTACAAAAGTGATGGGACTCAATTCCAAAATGTACTAAATACACTACCGGTAAACACTCTCTCTTGAATGATGACAGGGACATTTCAGATTCCGATGGAAAATCACCATCTTAATTAGAGCCAGAATTCTGTTTTTTAAAAGATATAGCCCGGCTCTGGACATGTTTTTCATTCTAGGGACATCTAAATATTCTAATTTTATGCCACATATATACACATTTGTTTGTGTGTATGTAAAGTCCCAACTGTTCCATATTCACAGACCTGTTTGCAGTGGTTTTCAACAGAATGAAATGGTTGACATCTAAACCTGTCAATATTATGAGTTATATATTACATATTCAAATGAACACAATGAATCTTGGAGACTCTCACTCTTGATGATACAATTTAACCTTCACTCAACGTATCTCTAATCATGTTTTATTTCTCTATCTCATCTGTAAAGTTTCTCTGTTAGTCCAGTTGGCTTTAGTGAGGAGCTTCTTGTTATGGTTGATGTCATTTGCGGCTGTGACTGTGAGAAGGAAGGGGTAAGCCAGTCATAAATGTATTGAATGATAATAATAACATTAATAATAATAGTAATAATTGTAATTATTATTATAATTATGATGATGATGATGATAATAATGATGATGATGATCGTGGCGGTGGTGGTGGTGGTGATGGTGATGGTGATAATGGGTATTAGTGTTCAAAGGTCCCAGAGTCATACAAATGTTTTAAGATACCGGTACCAAAATCTTATTACTGTGATAATTGAAAAAAATGAACCAATGTTGACAAAACTGGGCTCAAGTATGTTAAACCTTTCAACAACAAAAAAGCAAAAAGCATTTGCTTTCATGAGGTCTTTTGTTAAAGGTCACAGTAGCATGGATCAAGGAATATGCATATAGGTGGAGGCATTTTTGTTTTTAAATATCCCCTCCCCCCCCCCCCCCCCCTTTAGCAGAAGGTTTGAGGATCTCATTAGCTGGACTCTTATATTCTAAACGCAAGACTGACTTGATGTATATTTTTTCTTCATGTTTTAGATAACAAACAGTCCGGAGTGTAACTACAACGGGACAAACCAGTGTGGCATGTGTGCCTGTAACATGGGACGGTATGGTGATGAGTGCCAGTGTAGTGGAGAGAGTTCATCGGTAGGAGACGATAGGCTGGCCTGTATCGCGTAAGTATCATTGTTTTGCTTTAGTTTTGTATGGGTCAAGTTGAATTGATACTAGAATGCTGCATTTTCAGCAAATGATATACATGTAGTATACGTAGGCATATCATGTACATTAATAATAATTATAATAATAATAAATTACATTTATAAAGCACTTAAAGGCCCACTATACTACTTGTAGCTACTTGCTCCCTCTATATAGAAAAAAATGCCTAATCGGTGACCATTGGTCCCCCATGAACCTCTTTTTCTATGTTAATTGAGAGCTGAGTCGATGAGATAGCCACCTTTCAGTGACCTTCCTGGGTAGTCTATACTTATCAATACTTATTTGGTGCTTGATATTTTCATTAAATGTATTTTTATTTTGTTGCTACTTCTATGTACATGTATATGTTATCATGATAATCAATTGTTGATTGTACTTTCAGAAATTGTATTTTTTGTTAATTTGTACTTTTGTTAAAGATGAAGTTGAGTTCTGGTCATGTGATTGCATTGTGAAAGAAACGGTGTGGAACCAACCAGAAAAGGTTGATCATCTAGCATATAAGAATTTGTATGTATTGCAAGGTTCTGGAATCATCAAAATGATAAGAAATGTGGCCAAGTCTTGGTAAAGTTACAAACACTTGCACAGAAAGATGTATATGGGACTACACGAACACGTGGCGTAAAAAGCCGCCCCCCCCCCCTTCCCGATTTTTACGATGTTACATGCATATTTAGAATATGAAGGCATTTGAAGAGCCGTGCTTTTCAGGGAACATGTCTTAACTGATGTTCTTCCACACTTGCATAATAAGAATGAGTAATGCTCACAAATTATTTTTCACCTCTTCCAAGAACTCAACCTTCTCTTTAATTGTTCATGCTTGTATTGATTTTTGATCAATTTAAATGTGCGCCATATGACATACTGTACAGAATTATTCTTCTTATTACATAATGCCTACATTATCTCCATATTCTATATATTACTTTGCTTGTTATTCTATGATTTCAGATCCGGTTCTTTGTCCATCTGCTCTGGGCGTGGTGAATGCATCTGTGGGGAATGTGTTTGTAACAAACAGAAGGTAAGTTTATTCAACCGCAAAGACTCAAGGCCCGTTAAGATAAGATGCGGTACACCGCTGCAAAATATATGCCACAGCTTGTTTTACATGTAAATGAATTGCAACTGCATACAACAAAGGTGTGGCACATATTCACTGAGCCATGTCTTATGAGATCCTAAAATGGGAAGGGTATTACATTTTACGTCATCATTTTAAAAAAAAACTGCTGGTTTCTTGCATCATACGTGAATGAGGCCTGATACCGCTACCACCCCATAATTCCTGCAATATGCTGTCAGCATTTTGAACAGCCTGAATTTTAGAAGTATGTATGAATCTTTTCTGATTTTAAAGACTTCAGATTTTAAAATTCAAATTGGAACAGTTTTGGGGCCACCTTTTGGAAACCTATGCCTTGGATGGTTCTCGGGTAGCATTTAACTATGAGTGAAATGTACATTTATGTCTGCATGTCATTTCGGCAAGTACAATGCATAAGAGAACACCCTTCCCATTACCAAGACAGACTGGGTCCTCTTTTATAAAACTTGTTATCAATAACAACTTATACCATTATTGTCAGATGTGTGTCAGTTTTTTATTGATGAAGAAGTTAATGAAATGGCCCTGTATTTATAGACTGCTTTTCCTTGATTTCAGGATCCAACTCAAGTTGTTTCTGGGGAGTTTTGCCAGTGCGACAACTTCAACTGTCCTCTCTTTGAGGGGCAGCTCTGTGGAGGTATGTATGTAAGGCAGCCCTATGTTTGCCAAACTAACATTTCACTTAAAATTGACAAGAAATTTCTATTGTATTCCCCTAGTTCTTGATCTCAAGTGTTTACTGCACTACTGATTTATTTCCTTTCAATTCTTATGCTTTCATGTATTATTAAAAAAAAAAATTAAATAGTGTAAGGAATTCTGATAGGGCACTTGCTCCCATCCCAAACCCCTTCTTCCCTCCCCCCCCCAAAAAAAAATCTTCTGTTTTGTTTACACCAGAGTACAAACATTATTTTTGTTCCAAGTAGCAATTTCATCCATCCCCCCCCCCCCAGGAGAGAATGAAAAATTCACCACTGAATGACTTCAACATTGTACACTCATATTTAGAGAATAAAATATAATGTTAGTTGTACTTTTTTCCATCTACAAACGCTTTTGTATAGGTCCTTCCCGAGGCACCTGTGTATGTGACCGAACCACTCAGCAAAGCACATGCCAGTGCACGGCCGAGTACGAAGGAGACTCCTGCAACTGTCTCAGATCCCAAGAAGCTTGTATTGCTAACAATGGGGTACGTTTAACATCAAGTTATTTCAAACTAAAAGTGAGTGGGGGATGGGGGGGGGGGGGGGTTGGTTCCACCTCCTGTAGTTTATCTTTGATGTTATCTTGGAATTATTTTGACTAACTCTACACGTTCATGAATTTAAAGTCCAGAGTCTCGTGCATCAATCTCTTGACCCTAAATTCATAAAATTCATAAAATTCATAAAATTCAGACAATTAATGAATAGAGCGCAGCATCCTAAAAACTCTTGTTGCCCTTGTCCTGGCTCGTCAAATTTGCAATCTTCCTGTACTTAGTGTTTTGGAGTAATCACCTAATTAATTATTCATATATATGCTCAGGCGTCATGTGAATTAGTTTTTTAGGGAGATTGCAATGTTGACATGCGTATGACAAAGTGTTTGGATGCAGCGTGGTATTAAACCTATCGTCTGAATTTTATGACTTTGGGGTTGAAGACGGACTAGACTCATGCAGGGCTTAAAATTCATGAAAGCACAGGGTTAGACAAAATATAAAGATAAAGGAAGCATGCATCATCTTATAGAAAATATGTGGAAATGTAAATGATGTTTAATTCATGAATTGCTGACATTCATTCTGTATTTGTCTGTTTGTGTTTCAGCTTATCTGTAATGCCCATGGTACCTGCACATGTGGCGCATGTAGGTGTGATACAGATTCACCCTTCAAAGGACCAACATGCTTTGACTGTGCTGTAAGTATTTAGCAGTATTATATAGTCAAACCTGTCTATAGTGACCGTCCAAGGAAAACACAAAAATTGGTCTTCATAGCAGGTGGTCTTTGTAGACAGGTTCCTTAAGTACATGGTTCAATGAGAACCCATTTTCAAGGGAAACAAAAAATGTGCTTGTTGTAGTCAGGTGGTCACTAAAGCAGGTTTGACTGTATAACACTTCTTAGAGTGATGACATTAAGGACCCAAAAAGACGTTTTACTTTGTGAATGAGGCTCATGAAGAATTTGTTGCATTTCCTTTACTTGTGCTTTTCTCCCTATTCATGTACCTCTTGAAAATGTCTTGATTTATTTCTAATTTTGTCTCAGCTTCTTTTGTCAGTTCCTCGGTGGGAGATACATTTCTTAGAATCAGTACTTGAATAATTTGAAACAATCACCTTTCTAAAGAATGAGTGTTGCAATTCCCCCCCCCCCACCCCCCTGAGCTACCAAGTGTCACGCATTAGGCGTGACATCACGCATTTAGAGGGTCTGAAAACGGCTCTCACGCACGGCACGCGCTAGATTAAAAAAAACACCATACCTATACGTGTGTTATACCCTCGCGCGAGCCGAGTCATGAAAATGTCACACATTGCCGATCTTTGAACTTGGCGTCTCTACCCCCCCCCTCCTCCCCCCCCCCCCCCCCCGCACTCTTCTTTTATTTGATAACGACAATACTATGGTCTTATATGGCCCAGAGTATAACCTCATCCATAATGATACTGTTCTTCCTCAGGGCCTTTTAATTATATATTGCCCATTTAGCCTGGCCATCATGATAAGAGGCTGAAGCGTTCAAAGAATTTCCTCCTACCTTGAATCCATTTACTTCACCCGGGTGGAGACTGGCTAATGTAGATTAAGACCTTGCTTTATAAATTTCTGACAGACCTGCACCGGACAGTGTGAGGTGTATCAAGAGTGTGTCCAATGCAAGGCTTTCAACAGTGGCCCACTCACAGAGGAGCAATGCGACATGTGTACCGTGGAGGTCATTATAGTTGAGAGATTCCCTGAAGGTGAGTTGTGCCCCAACCTATTAGCAACTAGAGATTTTGTAAAAATGGCCTATTACTCACTGGAAGATGTTGCAATATTGCTGTCATTTTTACATTGTTCTGAACAATATGAAACATGTGCTATTTTTCTATGCAGATTACGCATGTATAACATTTTAACAGTAGACATATACTATAGCGCGTAGAAAATGGATGAAAACGGACGCGCGGTTTCGGGCTCTTTATAGCTTCCGTTAATGTTGTCTGATTTCCTGTATTGTGATGAATGCAAGATGAAAGGCTCCAGTATGTCTCTATTTGTTGCTATTCTATCATTCTAATTAACTTTGGGTAGATTGAGATTCATACAATATGTATCATTACCCTCTCTGAAAACTAATTCCTGTGATAAAATTGTTTCTTTGTCTTCACTTCATCTTCCAGTGGACTACCCGTACAACTGCTCAGTGAATCACATTGACAACTGTACTATCGTCTTCATACCTTACTTCATGGATGGAGAGGACGCGGTTCCAGTTATTTACGTCCTTGAAGACACAGGTAAGACGCACCTTGCATACCTGCCAACCCTTCCGAATAATCTGGAATATTCTGAATTTTCAATTTTTTTTTTTTTTTTTTTTTTTATTTTTTATTTTTTTATTTATTGATTTTTTTATTTTTTTATTTTTTATTTTTTTAAAATTTTTAAATATTTTTGAATTTAAAAAAAAAAAAAATTCTGTTAATATTTTATTTATTTCTTTTGTGCTAAAGCCAAGTTAAGCTTGTTTTATAATGTGCTGCGATTCGAGAGTTTACGTATTGTGTGCATTGAATGGCTGCATGATCGAGCAGCAAATTTCTATTCGTTTTTGGTACAGATTTACTGCGTATTGCCAGTAACACTGCCGCTGCAAGTGCGATTTCTTATTTTCGAAGGCATACCGTGCTAAAAATTCTTAATTCTTATTTTCAAATGTTGGCAGGTATCACCTTGCTGCATCAAACAAGCTTTGAACCCTATAAAGAGTGGGAGGGGCGAAATGGCCTCCCCTCAAAGTTTTAATTAAAGGCATCGTGTAACAATGTTAAATCTGAGATGCACGGCTTTATGTGTTATCAGTGTCTGTGATATGGTGTAAAAGTGAAGCGCTAACAAAATTGCACTTCAAAATGATTATGAAGTGCCTCAAATAAGTAAAAATCTTTGAATGACCAGTTTTTTTTTGCTCATTTTCCCCATAGACTGTAGCGTTATAAAAAAAATTAGGAAAACAGAATTTTTAAATTTCGATATTCAATCATTCATATCTTAACCCTACGTTAACTGGGGGGGGGGTCAATTTGACCCCCCCTGTAGAAATTTCGCGACTACTCCGAAACCGCGGCAGATACAAAATTTTCCTCTCATGACTTTTTACTTTCGAGTGTTACGCATCTTTTAAAACAATTTTTTTGAAAATCGGACCTACGGTTACAAGGTCGCGTGACCTTTTGTCTTTGCATGTCAGCCCGAAAATCGCTCATTTTCGTGATTTGTGTACAAAACATATGTAAAAGTCATTTTTCCTAAAAATAGATAAAACATTGGTTATTCAGTCTTGTATAAAGTTTAGATGTTTGTTTTGGGGTCAAAATAGTTGAATTGTACTAATAAATGAAATAAAACAACAAAAACAGTAAAATACATAAGTTAAAAAAACAATGAAATACATAAGAAATTATAAAAACAAGAGATAACATAAGGAATAACCTGGCTCTTCCAATTTTTGTGTCGTATTATTATTCCAAATGGTCTAATAAATATATGTAGTGAAAAAGAATACTTAAATATGAATAATCTATGATTTATGGGCCGAAATGTGAATTTTATGACCTTATTTGCATAAATTACCATAAATATGCAAATGAGTGAATTTTTCAAAAATTTGAAATTACCATAGTATTCTATACACTTCACTTGACATGCATGCAAATTTTCGCGGCGATCGGCGGTGTAACGGCCGAGATCTTAAGGGGGGTCAAATTGACCCCCCCCCCCCCCCCCAGTAAAAACCTGGTCTGAAATAGCCCAGTTTAAAATAGGGTTAATAATCAGACAGGCGATCGGCTTGTAAAAGTCATGAGGTTGTTGACTGACCTAAATGTTTATAATTGTCATTGCAGCATGAGCTAAATCCTGGATTTTGTTTTAGAATCTGAGACAAAGTTACCCAATCCCTTTAAAAGAGAAGGTATTCAGGGAAACATGAAAGATAATATCTGAACTCTCTCATTATTGTTATGTTAGTCAGGAAGAGTATCATGGGAAAAATATTTATATAGAACAGACTACCCAGTGACGTAAGAAACATTAATTTACGGTACATTTCTAACGAGAATCGCACAGTTCCTTTTTACCCAGAGGTACATGTACTAGGAATAGTATGATAACATTATTATTGTATTATGTCTGATATTTAATTGTTTTTGTTAAGGCAACAGCTATAGAACTACAATGTAGCACCTTAAGTGTTACTAAACCAGAAAGTGTACACTAAAAATACATGTTATTATTATCATAAGTATTATTATGCAGCTTTTTGTTGGTTATTTTCCTCCAGTTTGTCCCCGAGGACCGGTTGCTCCCGGGGTTGATGCTAGATGGGTGGCGGTCGGTCTAGCCATCGCCATCGTCCTCATCGGTATCCTACTGATCATCCTGTACAAGTGTTACATCATGTGGCTTGACAGGAAAGAGTATAATGAATGGGAGAAGGAGAAAGCTAATGCACAATTTAGTCAGGTAAGTGAACCTTTTTATTAATCTGTAGAAAACTAATCCTGAGTTTATTTTGCCAGGTATTTATGGAAAATAAGAAAAATAGTTATATTTGAAATCTTATTGTATCCACCAGGTTTAAGGGGACCATGCAGTTACTAATTGACAAATTGGCACCAACAGGCGCGGAACAGAGGCATTTGGAGACATAATGCTGAGGCCTTCATCCTGCAGTGGATTGACAATGGCTGATAAAAGCTTAAAAAATTTTTAAAAAGCAGCTACTAATTTTAATATATTTGTCATTTTAATTTGTTTTGTTTGTTTTTGTTTGCTCTGTACGGTTCAGCTCAATGCCGGTACTCTGTATAATAGTGTCATATCATATTGTTGGTCTGAATGCATTTATGCAGAAAAATATCATGAGATGATTTTGTTTTCTTCTTCTCTTCTTCTTTTCCTGTTTGTTTTTTCTGGATTTCATCACCTTCTTCTTCTGCCCTTTCTCCATTTCCTTCTTCTTCTTCTTCTTCTTTTTTCCCTTTCTCCTTCTTCTTCTTCTTCTAATTCTCCTTCTTTCTCATCCTCTTCTTCTTTCTCTTCTTCTTTTCTTCTTCTTAATTTCCTTCTCTTTGGTAGTAGTAATATAATATGTGACTCCCATGAAACCATATTTTCTATTTTTCTTTCTGATCTTTGCAGAACGAGAATCCGCTGTACAAGCCAGCTAGCACGGTCCACAAAAACCCTGCCTATGGAGCACAGTTTTCAGACACAGGAGAGCAAGCGCCAGCCCTGCAAGAAAAATCATAACCTAATACTGTACTATGGTGAAATGTGTTGTGGTCAACTCAAATGTTTTTTCATGATGATGTACAGCATTTGAAAATAGACAACAAAAACATGTACAATTAACTCTCCTGGCCTCTTAAGAATTATTTTAGGGACAACATATCTGTCATTGTAAATATAAAGAGGACCACTGAGAAGGGAAAGAAGGATTTCTGTGTCTTAAAGAGAGCAATAAATATAGTCCAACATTTTACTTCATTTTACCACAAGAGTTAGCTGCCATAAGTGACATCAGGACATGCTCAGCCTTGCATTACATTATTAGAAATGTCTTTTTGTACATGTAGTTTTAACCCCTCCCCAACTCCCCCCCCCCCCCCCCAAAAAAAAAAAAAAACAACAACAACAAAAAAAACATGTAGAAAAGAAAAATGAATAAACAATACAATGAATGAATACATAAATAAAAAATAAAAAAAAGTAAAAAAATAATGATGCTTTCATGATTCCATATGACATTTTTTTAGACAGAGAAATGCTTGTCTTTGTTCTTGAAATTCAACAAAGCTTCATGACTTTGAAAGTTAAGATGTCACGTAGATGAATAATAACATAAGGCAGTATGATTGAAAAGTTGGCTCTTTTTAAACTTGTCGGTTCCATATAGGCTGCATGTAAGTGTGACCGCAACATAAAGGGCGAGACTTTGCTTACGTACTGGAGAGGTCACCAGTTACTGCATAACAAAATAAATTTATTCTACGGAGAAGCCTCTTCTAAATGCAGGAACTTTTCCTAATTTTAGAGTTTGCTCTGAAATGTATTGAGATACGTTATTATGAGACAGTGAGGAATTTAGATTTTGCTCTGACTCATATTAAGTTACCTAAGTGTTGTAGGGAAAGTGATTTTAGAGTACTTGTTGAATATGTATATTTTGAGTCTTAACACAAGGAAATAAGTTGTTTGAAATGTACTATTGATGTTGATTTTATTGATGAGCATAATGTTTAAGTGGAATGGGCTATAATATTTTCCCTATTTTCACGAAGTGACGGTAGTGAATGAAAATCGCATACACTTTGCGTTACGATTTTCCTCACTACTGTCACTTCGTGAAAATAGGGACGATATGTGGGGCGATATATCATATTTTGCACTAAACTTCTCAAAATTTGAGAACTAAATATCCTTGTAATGAACATAGCCCTGTTTCTTCCAATGTTATCAATCAATTACGAGACTATCTTTGAGAATGTAATACACTTTTAGTACATGAAATTGATTTCCCTTGTAGTTACTTGTAATGGTTGAAAACAGTTTACATGTATGTTTACTTTTTAATGTGGTTTGAATATGATCGGAGCAAACTGTTAATTCAGAGCAAAATAATGGATTAAACCTTTCTCATGTTTTCAGTTGTTAATGCTTTGTTGATTTGAGAGTATTGAGAAAAAAATGACATACATGTAATACCATGAATACAAATGTTATCAAATTCATGTATGGATTTCGGGAAAACTGTTCTAGACATGTGTGTTATTAACAATGTGCCTTATTTTGTGAATTTCTTAGTGATATAACAACACAGATATATTTTACAAATATTATATTTCAATACACGGACTTGAAAGATGTTAACATGCATTTTGTTTTAATCACATTTTGTAGGAGTTTTGGCTTAGTTTTTTCTTTGGCGCTTGTACAAAAAGAAATGGGGTCTATCTTTGTTTTTATCAATCACACCTTTCTTTCTTGTTCCATATTTCATCAGTTGTAATTCATTATGATTTTATTTACATGTAGTAATTTTAAAATGGAACGTTAACACAAAATTAGTACTATCTTTAGTAAATAAGTAGTAATATTGCAAAGGAGGAGGATAATAAGAAGGAATAGGAGGTGGAGGAGAAGAAGAGAAAAAGAAAAAGGAGAAGAACAAGAAGTTGATGAAGAAGATGAAGAAAAACAAGAGGAAGAGGGATGGGAAGATAGAGAGGAAGAGTGGGAGGAGGAGGAGGAGAAGGAAAGATTTATAAAAAAAAAGAGAATGGGAAAACAATTTGATATACAAATCTTGCACTAGAGCTATGATGTTATATATATACTGCACATGGCAACAAAGTTTGTACAGTAGTTTTGTGCATTTTGAATTCAACATTTTGAGTTGCGTTCCTTTCTTCATGTTTATAATGAATGTCCATGTTAGCAATAAGAACTGCAGTAGTGTGATTTGCTTACGATATAAATATTTTAAATGATGGATTTTTAATACAAGTTTGCTATCGCGTCAATGAAGATTTGATCTACCATATTGTCTGTTTGGAGCCATTCAGGGACACTTACTATGTGTTAAAATACTTGAGGTAATGCCGTTGCGGCTCCAACAGACAATGATTTGTTTGTCTAGAGCCAAAAGGGCATTTATAGCCTGTATACTGTAACACAGGGTTAACACCCTTCTGGCTCTCAGCAGACTATATAGCACTACCGAGACGCGGAAGCAATAAAAAGTTATTGCCTTTATTGCAACACGTATGATGTATGCAAAAGTTTAATGACACAATGTCTCCTTGTTTGTGAGATAGGTATGCAGGTTATAGTTATAAAAGTGTTTATTATTGGTGTCATGAAGTAATGAAATATCGTTAAAAGGAGAGAAGTAAATGGAGACAACTTGCCTCAATATGTGTTCAATTTCTAGTTATACAATATGACTTATTATAATCTAAGTTTAAATGTTACATTCATAATTGTACTCTCACAGTGATATTTAGTGTCTAAAATTAAACTTGACATGATTTAATCCAGTATCTCCACTGCATCTTACCCACCCCTCCCTTATCATTATCAATTGTATATATTTTCTGTCTCTCTTTCTGTAACCCCACTCTCATCACTTTCTTCCCTGTCTCCCCTCTCAACCAGTCAAAACTTTAAAATTCGCTCTCCTCTATAGCCAACACCCCCTCCTACCCCATCCTTCTCTGTCTGTCTCTCCATCTCTCTCTCCCTCCCTCTCGCTCTCTCTCTATCTGCATCTCTCTTGTCTGGAATGATCCATGCTATAAACGTCTATTTTGATAATACCCACACCTGTGCGGTACTGGTGAGCGAAATTCAATAGTGTGTTTACAAAGATATATCTACATTCATTTGAGATTAATTTGAAATCTGACTAATATCCAGCGACCCATATTCTACTAGTGTTGGATCTAAATAATGTTTAGCAAATGAATATTAGACCTTGGTGTAAGTTGCCTTGCTAAAATATTACTGTAAACCGAAACTGAACCCAGCATTTGAATATAAATTCAGTAGAATATGGGCCAATGGGTTTACATACTCCGATAATGATTTGTGTCACGATATATATTTTAATTTGTTTTTATACGCAATGTACCAAAATATAATTTTCTAATCATGTAATTATTTACCACTATATGTATGATACTATGTTTGATAGAATGTATATATTCTGATGCCACTTTATCTTGTATCGTTTTTCCAAAAAAAAAGAAAGAAAGAAAATGAAGAATTTCTACACCGGTCTTTGTCTCTTGCCCATTAACTGTATACTCACGTGTTTGAAGTGCATGACTGTGAAGATGTAGGGTTTGGGAATTTCGTGAGAGAAGTGGAGAGTGGACACGAACATCTTTTTTAAGAGAATCAAAAGGTACGTGTGGAAAAGGAAGGTTCCAGTACCTCGAAGAGGGTTCTGGGACCCGTTTCACAAACCCTTTTTTCAATGACAAATTACAATAATCAGTGACAAATCTGCTGATAACCAATCAGAAGCAATTGGGATTTTAGTAGCTTATAACAAAAAACTTATCATTTGTCACTGATGACAAGTTTTGTGAAATGGGGCCCTGGTGTTCGGTGATCGAAGTGACTGAGGGAGAGGGACAAAGAGAGAGAGAGAATGAAGGGGAAAAGACAGAAAGAGAGAGAGAGAGTTAGAGGGAGACCGAGAAAGAAAGAAAGAGAGAGGGATAGAGAAGGATAGGCGTTGAAAATAATGAAGAATATTATAAATTAAACATAATTAAAAGTCGGAGGCAGGGAATGGGAACATGACTCCACTCTCAGTTTATGTTGGCAATTAGTACAATTTGGGAAAATGTTGAGAATTTGTTTTTCATAATTTGATTTGAATTTTCATTTATCTATTTATTGAAATATATTTAATCAGGATAACAAGAATCAGATATACATTGTAGAGAAATAAGCCATGTCAAGAGCAGTATATGAATCAACATTGTAATACACAGGTTTACACAATTTGTCCTTGTACATACGTTTAAAGAAATCAATATATTTAGCATATTGAAAAACAAAAGGTAAAATATTCCAGATTTTACCACCAGCGTATCTACAACAATTCTTACAACATTCAAGATTAGGCTTGGGTAAAACAATATTCAACGTATTGGCAAGTCTAGTGTTAAAACCATGTCTGTCAAAAACATAACATAACATAAGGCTGCCGGAGCTAAAGCTCGGGTAATAAAGTCCAAAGCTCTTTGGAAGCGCAAGGAGATGTTATTTCATAACGTATTATGCGCTATACAAGAACTGAACTATTATTATTATTATTATTATTATTATTACTTCATTGCAAAATCGTACCTGGGCTTTTCCATGAATATAAATTTGTCCCTTCTAGTATCAATGGATTGCCATTTAATGAATTCATTCTTTTCAAGCTATTAATATCATAATATTGAATGAAACCATATTATGTTCATGAAAATGTAAGATGAAAAGAAGAAAAAATGATGCAGAAACCAATAAATCAAATCAGATCAAATCAAGTCAAAGTTGCCTACTACAATACGTACAGCTCTTTTCTGTAGTCTTAAAAGAATATTTCTGTTTTGTACAAAACAGTTCCCCCATGCTTTTGCAGATAAATGGCGCTATACAAATGCTGTTCATCATCATCATCATCATCATACGACACAAGAATAATCTAAGATTGGCTGTATGGTACATTTGTATATTTTAATATTATTAATAATCATTCACAGAATAAGACCCTCATTCGCCGATACCCTTCCAAGACAAAACTAACGGGTCTGATGTCGTTCTTATACAAAACTAACGGGTCTGATGTCGTTCCTAGACACAACTAACGGATCTGATGTCGTTCCTAGACAAAACTAACGGGTCTGATGTCGTTCCTAGACAAAACTAACGGGTCTGATGACGTTCCTAGACAAAACTAACAGGTCTGATGTCGTTCCTAGACAAAACTAACGGGTCTGATGTCGTTCTTATACAAAACTAACGGGTCTGATGTCGTTCTTATACTAAACTAACGGGTCTGATGACGTTCCTAGACAAAACTAACAGGTCTGATGTCGTTCCTAGACAAAACTAACGGGTCTGATGTCGTTCTTATACAAAACTAACGGGTCTGATGTCATTCCTAGACAAAACTAATGGGTCTGATGTCGTTCCTAGACAAAACTAACGGGTCTGATGTCGTTCCTAGACAAAACTAACGGGTCTGATGTCGTTCTTATACTAAACTAACGGGTCTGATGACGTTCCTAGACAAAACTAACAGGTCTGATGTCGTTCCTAGACAAAACTAACGGGTCTGATGTCGTTCTTATACAAAACTAACGGGTCTGATGTCATTCCTAGACAAAACTAACGGGTCTGATGTCGTTCTTATACAAAACTAACGGGTCCGATGTCGTTCTTATACATAACTAACGGGTCTGATGTCGTTGTTATAGAAATCTTTGATCTCTCTCCTGAAGAGGAACTGGCCCTGTAGGTCCTTGGTCCCAGGCGACAGGAGAGCCAGGTAGACCGGGGTGTCTGCTCCTTGGTCTGGACTGATCATCTGCTTGACGGTCTCCTCGTCGAAGTGCGACGTGAAACTAGTCTTTAAAAATCCTGGGCAGCACTGCGTGATAATGAAATAGTCAAAGTACAGTCAAATCTGTCTATATCGACCGCCCAAGAGAAACACAAAAAGTGGTCTTTGTAGACAGGATCCTTTAGTACATGTTTCAATGAGAAACCTTTTTCAAGGGAAACAAGAAAATAATGTGGTCTTTGTAGACAGGTGGTCACTAAAGCAGGTTTGACTATATTAGCACTAACAAAAACTAACGCTCTACCACCAGAATAAATGCCCATTCAAATTATGAAGCAACAAAAACCACAGTTTATGAGTTTTCAGATGGTTTTGTTCGAATGAAGTCATCTTTAAATGCATTGGCAATAGCGTTATCGTCATCAAACACCACATCATTGTTATAAAGAATAAAAGAAAAGGATGAATGGGGGGGGGGGGGGTAACAGTGATTTAAAAACATTTATATATATTTTGCATTTGTCTTGATATCTTTACTTTTCAACATAGAAATATTGGTCTCATTCCTTAGAATTCGACATTTTAACCATAAATCTTCACAACATGTATTCAACAAAGAAAAATCTTTTTACATATTAATATTTTTCTTCACTTTCAAAAATGTTTTATATAATATGTTTGGTATTGATTGTGTTGCATTTTGTTTCAGGTTTACCAAATTCGTGACTATTTTTAATTCAAAAGACAAACATGTTTGTTTTTTTAAACTCACTGAATTTATGAGGACATCCTTTTTGCTTGAATCCTTCCTGAGAGCTTCACCCTGAATACGGGTAAGGGTCGTAACGCCCAGTTTGCTGGTTCCGTATGACCAGTCTGCAAATCCCTTTTGGACAGGTTCTCCGGACTTGATGGAACTACAAAAAAAGCAAAGTCCAATGGATATTTCTCTTGATTATTAACTTTATTCTTTTCCTTTATCTTTTTCTAATCTTCTTCTTCTACATGTACTTCTTTCTTCTTCCTTGTATTCTTCATATTCTTATTGTTATTACTATCATTAAAATCATTATCATTACCGTTATTATTATGATAATCTATTACTATCATCATTATTATTACTATAAGTGGTAGAAATTGTAGTATTAGTATTAGTAGTAGTAGTAGTAGTAGTAGTAGTAGTAGTAGTAGTAGTAGTAGGAGTAGTAGTAGTAGTAATAGTAGTAGTAGAAGTAGTAGTAGTAGTAGTAGTAGTACGTAGTAGTAGTAGTAGTAGTAGTAGTAGTAGTAGTAGTAGTAGTAGTAGTAGTACGTAGTAGTAGTAGTAGTAGTAGTAGTGTCAAAATCCAGCCATTGTGGGGGGGGGGGGCAATGGCATCATGAAATAAGGGGGCTGGGCATGGGAAATATTAGGTGGATGATATGCGAGAGAACCGTGCCATAAAATGAGGGAGGGTGTAATATCGCGTTCTCTTCACGTTGCCCCCCCCCCCCTCCTGCCTCGTTTTCTTACTGCTTCTTCTTCGTCTTCTTCTTCTTCTTCTTCTTCTTCTTCTTCTTCTTCTTCTTCTTCTTCTTCTTCTTCTTCTCTCTCTCTCTCTCTCTCTCTCTCTCTCTTTCTCTCTCTCTCTCTCTCTTTCTCCCTCTGTCTCATTTTAATTGTGACCCCTTTATCCGGGATCTACGCTATTGATATGAGAGAAATAGCGTGATTACGAAGACTTTCAAATAATCAACATAAGGCAATGTCAAATCCTTGACAATAATATTTACCACCTTTTGGAAGATGCGAATATTATAGTAGCATCTTACGTAATCCGCACATGATTTCTACAGGCAATAAAAGGTATCGAAATTGCCCTTAAATGGACTTTTCGAAAGTCTTTGCGCTAGTTTGAATGTTGCAACTACTTTCGAAATATCAAATGAATGCAATTTTGATAGCCTTGTCCATCACCCTTTCGAGGGGTCAGTGACACAAAGACGTAACTCCATTTTGGCCATTTTGAGAAAAAAAGTGGTTTATTTGTCACTGAGCACTTGGGCCTTAATGAGTTGAATGTTCACTAGCAATTGACTTCAATGGGGGTGTTGGGTGGAGTTAAGTCTTTGTGTTTCTTGGAAAGCCAACATTTTGATATCAAATACTCATTTTGGAAAAATATGGAGTTACGTCTTTGTGTCACTGAACCCTCGCTTCGAAATGTGAAAACGTTACATAGAACACGATATGGGCAAGAGGCGTATGACAAGAGGGTATTGAAAGAGCCCTTGAGTTGATTTTTTGAATGCCTTTGTGATCGTGTTTGAATCTTTTTACTCGACGAATTCTTGCATGAGATCGTTGAGCCCTTGCTCAGTGTTAACGCTTCTGAATCTCTGTTGCATCTCATTGCTCATCTTGTAGAAAGTCATCGGAGCCACTAAACTGCCAATGTGAACAACCCTGTATACATCATGTACAAAGAGAGAGAGAGAGAGAGAGAGAGAGAGAGAGAGAGAGAGAGAGAGAGAGAGAGAGAGAGGGGGAGGGAGGAGGGAAAGGGAGATAAAAAAAAAAAGGGGGTTTCTGTTGAGATTAAAGTTTGAAGTTTGACTGATGAATTATTAAATCGAAGTATGAATTGTGAAGGCGAAGAGGTGACAAAATTATACATACATTCTTTCACTTGATAGAGATTTTACAAGTCTCTTGTTCTCTTTTATCATATATATCTTTTTTTATCATATATATATATATATATATATATATATATATATATATCTTAATTTCGTTAAAACCTTCGAGTAATTTTCATTGCATGTTTGAATACACATACATCAAATTTGTAGGTGTTTTTTTTTCTTCATGTGTCTTGTTGGTCTCAAACGGATGCAGAAGAACACATTTTGGTAAAATATTTTCACCAGAATTTATTTTTGCAGTAGGGAAAAGTGTACTCTACCCCCCCCCCCTGCTCCCCCGGATCCACCCATGTTTTGCGTCCTGTCTGAAGAATCTCAAGGGCGATGAAGCGATGGGGGCTGGACAGGAAATACAATTTTTATTAGCGATAGGATACGGGAGGTGGTCCAGACGTATTCTTTTTTTGTCGTTTCTTTCCCTTCTTCCTTCTCCTTTCATCCTTTACTTTTATATTTATCAATTCTATGGGGGATAGGCCTGTAGCTATACGCCACTGCCAATGGTTATACCTACCTCCCCCCGTCCCGTATGATGGGTAGGAGCGCGTTGGTCACATTCCGAACTGCAAAGTAGTTTGTCTGTATCGTTTTCTCCGCTTGAATTGCTTTTGGTGTATCATCCTGAGAAACGTTTTTTCAAAGAGAAAGTTAGGTAAAAGTTAGGTAAAGATTAGATAAGTTATAATATTTTGATATAAGAAGTGTGCCCCCCTTTTGTTTACAGTAGAACGTTTGCCCTTTAAACTACCATGACATATTATACTAAAGTGTTAAAATAGGCATCTTCCAATCTATCATTCTACCATGCCCTTTTGAACTTTACAGAAGGCCAAGGTAATCAATTCCCCTTCGCTCAAGAATATACTATTCTTGACAATGAAGGATTTTTCACATTCAAGGCAACTGCATTTACATTACCAAATACCAATTAAAGGCCCACTGCACTACTTGTAGCTAATTGCGCCCTCTATATAACAAACAATGCCTAATCGGTGACCATTGGTCCCCCATGATCCTCTTTTTCTTATGTTAACTGAGAGCTGAGTTGATGAGATAACCACCTGTCCAGTGACCTTGCAGGGCAGTCAAATCCCTCCTGCAAACTACGGCAGATAAGCTTTAAAAGACGAATAATTACCATATGACCCCTCATATCCCCGAAACAATAATTTCTCATAGCTTTCCAAGCATGTGCCCCTAATATAAAGCGACTGAGAGCATTTTTTGTTAATCCACCCCTCGCTTCGCCCACTCGCGTTTATCTCATTAAGTAACTTATTAAAGATCTTTTTCATTCTTTCATTATAAGGGATTAAACGGAAGGAGAAAATCGGAAAGATGAATATCTCACGTTAAAGATTATGCCTGCGTTGTTGACGAGGATATCCAAGCCTCCGTCCTGTGCGGCGATGTCGTCTCGGAGCGTCTCGATACTGTCCTGATCATTGACGTCGAGTATGTGAAACTTCGGGCCGAGTCCTTCTTTCTTAAGGACATCAACGGCCTCCAAGCCCCGACCTACATATGGTTGGCATTTAATGCCATAACAAAGAAAATGCGCTCTTTGTGATTATAAAAAAACATCGAGTAGATGGAGTATACATGGTTTTTACAAATCAGAGATCGATATCTGCAATCCAATCATCCGTCTCAAATTTTGCAGAAAATGGGAGGGTTAGGGGTTTGCGATCGAGGGACAGTCTTGGATTGATCTTTGTGTCCGATCAAAATTTCTCCTGCTGTCTACAACTCAAAATCTTACCAATCGGTGTATAAGTTAATAAGTATAATGCTTGGTTCATAGTCATCATATCCGCTATAAACGCTCATCATCATGATAATTGTCTGTCTTGCTATTAAACTCGACCTGGCTCTACATAAGAAACGTGCTAGGGAAAAGTCTTTTTCAAAGTTGTGTAAAAAGCTACCTGCTATTGCAAAAATAGCTTTATTCCGTTAACCGGTTCAAGAAACTTCTGAAGTCCCCCTTTCTGGGTGTTATAAGGTCCAGGCGCGGATCCAGGATTTCTTAGGGGGGGGCCCCACTTTTTTTTGGGGGGGGTCCGAAAAAAAAAATCGTAACGACTCAGCCAGCCGCTAAATAAGCGGGGGGGGGGGGGGGGGGGGGGAAGAGGACACTTTTTTTTTTGGGGGGGGGGTCTCTAAATTTGAAAATTTGACATTTTGTTCCGTTGGGGGGGTGTAAGGTCACCTTTTTTAGGTCAGCCATTGGCATATTTTTTTAAATTATTTTTTAAATTAAAAAAAAAAAAAAAAAAAAAAAAAAAATCACAGAAAAGGGGGGGGGGGGGGGTTGCTCCAAAATACACACATAAAAAACCGAAGAGGGAAGGGTCAACCCCCTAACCCCATCCCCCCTTCCGTACGTGCCTACTCGTCTGAAAATAGTTTTTTCCCCTCCCGCGCGAAGCGCGGAAGCTTTTACGTTTCATTAAATCATTAGAAAAAGAAGACGATTCGTTGTACAGTTTTTTACTCTTAATCCTCGTCTTAATTCATCCCCCTCTCCCGCGCAAAGCTCGGAAGCTTTTACGTTTCATTAAATCATTAGAGAAAGAAGACGATTCGTTGTACCGTTCTCGACTCTTAATCCTCATCTGAATTCAGTTTTCCCCTCCTCCCTCCCGCGCGAAGCGCGGAAGCTTGTACGTTTCATTAAATCATTAGAGAAAGAAGACGATTCGTTGTACCGTTCTCGAAAATAATCCTCGTCTGAATACAGCTTTTACGTTTCATTAAATCATTAGCGAAATAAGACGATTCGTTGTACCGTTATGACTTTTAATCCTCGTCTAAATTCAGTTTTCCCCCTCCCACGCGAAGCGCGGAAGCTTTTACGTTTCATTAAATCATTAAAGAAAGAAGACGATTCGTTGTACTGTTCTCGACTATTAATCCTTTTCTATATTCAGTTTCCCCCCCGCTTCGACATTTCATTAATTTTTTAGAGAATGAAGACGATTCGTTGTTCCGCTCTCGAAAATAATTTAGATTCCCCCACCCGCGCGAAGCGCGGAAGCTTTTACTTTTCATTAAATCATTGGAGAAAGAGGAAGATTCTTCGTACCGTTGGGGGACCACCCCCACCGCCCCCCTGGCTACGCGCCTGCTGTCAGATGAACATATGTTGATACCTTGTTTGCCCCGGAAGGTCAGGGGTTTAAGGCAATACGGTCAGATCAGCACTCAGGGGTCCGCCTGAGCGCCCTAGACGGGGTCCAGGGGGCAGAGCCCCGGAAGTTCAGGAGTTTAGGCATTTAATTACGGTCAGATGAGCATTATTTTGATACCTAATTGTTACAATGGCAGGTCACTAATTGGCTTGGGGTTCAGGGGGCGGAGCCCCGGAATCTCAAGGGTTTTAGGCACTCAATTACGGTCAGATGAGTATCGAGGGGCCCGCCTAAGGGCTCTTGGTTGGGTCCAGGGGGCAGAGCCCCCAGAAGCTCAGGGGTTTTAGGCGTTTAATTACGGTCAGATGAGCATTTTTGATACCTTATTATTTGTGACACTAGCAGGACACTATTTGGCGTGGGGTCCAGGGGGCAGAGCTCCCAGAAATCAGGGGTTTTAGGCATTAAATGACCGTCATATGAGCATCTAAGGGCCCGTCTTAGGGCCCTAGGTGGAATCCAGGGGGCAGAGCCCTTAGGATTTTAGGCATTAATTTTAATCATGGTCAGATGAGCATATTTTGATACCCCATTATAATGTGACACTGGCAGTTAACTATTTTTTCTTTCCCGCTCTCTTTCTTTCTATTTCTCTTTAATATACTTTTTCAAAGAAAGTGTGGGGGGAGTTGCTCGAGGATCCCGATCCCCGCCGTTCCGCGGGCCCTGATATGTATGCATCTCAAGAAGCATTTTCCTGCCTGGCTGTAAATTTAGGAATTTGTCATTTTCCAACAAACGCATGAAGTGAGGAAAATTATCTCATTTCAGCATTATTTGTTAACCACCGTTATGGAATTATAAATAAACCACGTTTGAATTCTATTTCTCCAACCCCCCCCCCCCCCTCCGATCTACACCTTGTTGGCGGGAAAATTGCAACTGATATCCCTTACCTTTCTTCATTCTCTTTTTTTTTCCTTTCCCTTTCTCTCCTTTTTCACTTTCCCTTCCCTTCCTTATCTCTAGGTTTGCTGGGGGGGGGGGGCACGGTCATTTTGGTCCCCAACCCGCTCCACACATTGTTGGCGGGATTAACCGCAACTGATCTCCGCTTCTTTTCTCCTTTTCTTTTTTTTTTCCTCTTTTTGTTCCCTTTTAGCTCTCCTCTTTTCCTTTTCCTTCCTTCTCTCTTTTTTTTAGCGGGGACAGGGGGGGGGGGGGGGAGGCTAGGGTCTTTTGCCCCCCCCCCCCCTCGATCCACAACTTGTTGGCGGGAAAATTGCAACTGATATCCCCCCTTCTTTTATTTTCTTCTTCCTATTTTGTCCTTCCCTTTATCTCCTCTTTATCTTTTTTCTTTCCTTTCCTTCCTTCTCTTTTATTTTTTTTATTGGGGGGCCGGGGGAAGGGAGGAGGCAAGTCCTTCCCCCGATCTCCTTCTTCCCTCTTTTCTTTTCTTCTTCCTCTCCTTTTTTTTCCCTTTCTCTCCTCTTTCTCTTCTTTTCCTTCTCTCTCTCTTCTTTTTTTTTCTTTTTTTTTTTTGCGGGGGGGGGGGGGCAAGGCACGCTCGACCCCCCCCCCCCCTGGATCCGCGCCTGATAAGGTCCACTGGATTGTTTTGGCTCAACGTTTGTTTGTTTTTCGAAGTGAAATATTATTGTGTAAGTGGTCCAAGCAAGTGGAGCACATTTTGGGTTGGATACATTTTGGGTTGGATCTTTTTATAAATCGCAAAATATACAGGAGTGACCATCCAGTAATTTTATTGGGGATCACTTCAATTTCAAGTGGAAGTCCAAGCTCAAAACAACGGAATCCACCCACACTCAAAAGAGTAAAAAGATACCCAGAACATGGAGTGGATTCTGTTACAATGTCGCGTGACTTCAACATCTAAACGAGACGATCGCTAACATGACTACTAAACATGTAAAAGAGAGGATTTCCATATATTTGATAATGAAATGGAATTAATTTTTCACCATACTTTTATTTCATACAATATTAGTTCTAAAAATAACATCTAGAGACTGAATACATTTGTAAATAGCAAAGTTAGATATTTCAAAATCACTCGGCTACGTCATAAGCACTGCTGGTGTAGTGGTATCATGCAAGATTCCCATTCTTATGACCCGGGTTCGATTCCCGGGTAGTGCACTCATTTTGGAATTTCAAAATTAAAATGTCTACATTTCAATTTCACAACTAAATATTTTCTACACGTGGTCATATCAAAAATGGGAATAGAAAACTTTATTCAAAAGTTGCTCTTTTATCTCGATCAATCATTACTAGTAATTTTAAAATGTTTGAAAAGGAGATTCTCTTTGCACCTATTTGCCAAACAAGAAAAATAAAGTGAGGGGAAAAGCGAGTGAGGAAGAGAAAATGTTTTTTTCTTCAGACTTCCAAGTTGAATCACGTTTATTGCCATTTCATTTGTGCTTTTCTTGTTGGGGGTGGGGGGGGGGGCTTTGCCAAACCAACTAATCAAAGGTATCGAATACATATCAATCATTATTATCTATATAAGGCTTCCAAGTGGTACAATAAATCAGTGTACTCAATATCTAGAAAAAACTTTATGGTATTGTGTGCTGGCCATTATATACAAACCTTCATTCCTGGCCGTCAGGTAGACGATACCGTCATCGCCTAGCCTCTTACACAGACTCCTGACGATTGCCAACCCCAGGCCGCTGCTACTTCCAGTAACCTTCGGAGAAACAGAAAAAAAGTTTTAAAAAATCATTGGCGTATCCAGGGCCGGGGGGGGGGGTGACACGGTAAAACGCAAACGCAATCTGGAAATAGTTCTTTACAGACTTCTACTTGTCAAAGCTTGTTCAGCATCTATAGACGGAGGCCCAATGTTGAAGGAATGCAAGTCCTTTTTGGTAGAAGATTTTTGCCTTGGAGGTTTTTTTTCTTTTTCATTTCATGCCTGTTTGGAAGTTCGTATTTACAAAAAAAATCATAATATTTCGTAAACTACTCTTCTGGAACAGTGAAGACTTCCGAAAAATGTACCTTAAATTGTGCGTTACGAATGTGCAAACAATTACACAATTATTTTGTATTCCGAATTCGTATTTCTATATATACACTACTGTTGCAATAAGGTATTAAAATTGACCTTGAGTTTTTTTCTTGAAAGTCTTTATTTGCAATTTTGTGAGTGCTTCCTCCACCACACTCATTATCAAGTGGACATTGTTGAATCAATGTCCTTAGTAGCCTTGTAACAATATTAACAATGCCTTCTCTCCCCCCACCCCCTCTCTCTCTCTCACACACACACTCTCTCTCTCTCTCTCTCCCTCTCTCTCTCTCTCCCTCTCTCTCTCTCTCTCTCTCTCTCTCTCTCTCTCTCCCTCTCCCTTACTCACTCCCCTCCCTCTCGCCCCACCCCCTCCATCTTCGAGATTCGCATTTATACCCAAATAGATTTTTACAATTTACTGTGCGGAAAGATACCGAAGATATATCCTCGGGGGGTATTTGTCCTCGGAGGGTAATTGTCCTCGGGGGATAGTTGTCCTCGGGGAGGTAGTTTTCCGGGGGGGGGGGGTAATTTTCCGGGGGCGATTGCCCAGGGGGTAATTGTCCTGATACGGTTACTATTTTCTTCGGAGTAATGCCTCACCTCATATTCTCGCTAAAGTGCATCCCAGGTGTAAAAATAATTGCGTTTTGAATGGAAGTCCCTAATAATAGGCTCCCTTTTCTGCCAAAATGCCCTTACAAATTTGAAAAATAGATGTGGAGGCTTCAGCCGCATCCCCCCCCCCCCCACAAAAAAAAAAACATCCCGGGAGAGCGACAACTGCCAGGGAGCTAAATCTTGTCTTCTCCTATAAAAGATTCTTTTCTTACTTCTAAATATAAATGAATGACGAATATAAAACTAGATTTATTACAAAAATAAGATAGCAAAATGTTATAGATTCTTCCAGTAGCACGTGCATACTATAGAATCCACCATTTTACTGCAAAGCAAGAAGTGTGATATTTTTACGAACTACGTTGTGAAGCAATAATAGTTACGTAAATGCGATGGTAGCGTCATAAATCACTAAATGCGAACAATTCATTTTAGAGTAGGCCTACCACTGAACTTACCAAAGCTACTCGTTTCGTCATCTTTGACATAGAGCGGGATCGGATAACAATAGACTTACAACATGAAATGCCAAAAGAAAATAAATAGGCCTACTCAGTTCAGCCCTTGCGCCGCTGTGAGTGGCATACACCAAGTAGAAAATACTTTTTGCAAAGTCATATTCATGTTATATTTGGCAATTGATGACTGATCAAAGTGCATGCAAACAGCAAATTATATATGATAACCCCCTTTCTCCCCCTCTCTCTCTCTCTCTCTCTCTTTCTCTGTCTCTCTCTCTCTGTCTCTCTGTCTCTCTCTCTCTCTCTCTCTCTCTATCTCTCTCTATCTCTCTCTCTCTCTCTCTCTCTCGCGCGCCATTTGTTGTACTTTACCCTGTTCACTGTTTTCAGCGGCCAGACATTAATTGAATATATTAACCTGTATCAGGACAATTACCCCCTTGAAAATCACCCCTCCGCAAAATTACCCCCCCCCCCCCCCGTAAAACTACCCCCTAGGACAATTACCCCTGGAAAATTACCCCCAGAGAATTACCCCCCGAAGGAGTCGAGGACAACTACCCCCCCCCCTCCCCTACTCTCTCTCTCACACACACACTCTTTCTCTCTCTCTCCCTCTCTCTCTCTCTCTCTCTCTCTCTCTCTCTCCCTCTCCCTTACTCACTCCCCTCCCTCTCGCCCCACCCTCTCCATCTTCGAGATTCGCATTTATACCCAAATAGATTTTTACAATTTACTGTGCGGAAAGATACCGAAGATATATCCTCGGTGGGTATTTGTCCTCGGAGGGTAATTGTCCTCGGGGGATAGTTGTCCTCGGGGAGGTAGTTTCCCAGGGGGGGGGGGGGTAATTTTCCGGGGGCGATTGCCCAGGGGGTAATTGTCCTAATACGGTTACTATTTTCTTCGGAGTAATGCCTCACCTCATATTCTCGCTAAAGTGCATCCCAGGTGTAAAAATAATTGCGTTTTGAATGGAAGTCCCTAATAATAGGCTCCCTTTTCTGCCAAAATGCCCTTACAAATTTGAAAAATAGATGTGGAGGCTTCAGCCGCATCCCCCCCCCCCCACAAAAAAAAATCATCCCGGGAGAGCGACAACTGCCAGGGAGCTAAATCTTGTCTTCTCCTATAAAAGATTCTTTTCTTACTTCTAAATATAAATGAATGACGAATATTAAACTAGATTTATTACAAAAATAAGATAGCAAAATGTTATAGATTCTTCCAGTAGCACGTGCATACTATAGAATCCACCATTTTACTGCAAAGCAAGAAGTGTGATATTTTTACGAACTACGTTGTGAAGCAATAATAAAGTTACGCAAATGCAATGGTAGCATCATGAATCACTAAATGCGAACAATTCATTTTAGAGTAGGCCTACCACTGAACTTACCAAAGCTACTCGTTTCGTCATCTTTGACATAGAGCCGGGATCGGATAACAATAGACTTACAACATGAAATGCCAAAAGAAAATAAATAGGCCTACTCAGTTCAGCCCTTGCGCCGCTGTGAGTGGCATACACCAAGTAGAAAATACTTTTTGCAAAGTCATATTCATGTTATATTTGGCAATTGATGACTGATCAAAGTGCATGCAAACAGCACATTATACAGTGCGTCCCAGAAAAAACGAAACCGAGAATTATCGATGTTCTATCATAACTTAATCACAACTATAATTAATGAATGATACATATTTGGAAAGCTTAGAGTCTCTTCTTTCAGTTGATGCTACTCACGTAATGCATATTTCACGCATGAGTGATTAAAAGCAACTTGAAGGAAGGAAACCAAAAAGACATTTGGCGGGCGGTATCTGAATTTCGAAGAAAAATTTACATTTCTAGAAAGTTGAGTTTCTGCCCTTTCATATGACACCTCAATCAAGAAAAATGAGCGAGGAATGACAAAGTTCTGTTTGTTTAAAGTAGTGCTTGCATTTCCATAATTTGATTAAACGAATTCGTTTTCACTGGCTGCCTGCCGTATCAATAAACGAAATTAACAAAAGACTTAACTCCGTTCCGTTGACAATCAGCCGTAGACGAGAGTCTTCATGCATGGCTGATTGTCAACGAAACGAAGTTAAGTCTTTTGTCAAATCTGCTTTTTGCTACGGCTACTTTGAAATTCAGATACCGCCCGCCAAATTACTTTTTGGTATCCTTCCTTCAAATTGCTTTTAATCACTCATGCGTAAAATATGCATTACGTGAGTAGCATCAACTGAAAGAGGAGACTCTAAGCTTTCCAAATATGTATCATTCATTAATTATGGTTGTGATTGAGTTATGATAAAACATTGATACTTCTCGGTTTCGTTTTTTTCTGGGACGCACTGTATATGATAACCCCCTTTCTCCCCCTCTCTCTCTCTCTCTCTCTCTCTCTTTCTGTCTCTCTCTCTATCTCTATCTCTCTCTCTCTCTCTCGCGCCATTTGTTGTACTTTACCCTGTTCACTGTTTTCAGCGGCCAGACATTAATTGAATATATTAACCTGTATCAGGACAATTACCCCCTTGAAAATCACCCCTCCGCAAAATTACCCCCCCCGTAAAACTACCCCCTAGGACAATTACCCCTGGAAAATTACCCCTGGAGAATTAACCCCGAAGGAGTCGAGGACAACTACCCCCCCCCCCCCCCCTCTCCTACTCTCTCTCTCTCTCTCTCTCTCTCTCTCTCTTAAGGTGGCGTGTTCAAGCTATTAACTGGCACTGTCGAGTATGGGTGAATTTTATCATAGTCTCCAATACCAGAACTGAAATGAATACACCAGGCCGTTTTGACATTTCATTTACCTTACATATTTATTATTCTACTATTATATCTTTATACACATTATAGTGCCAATTACTCGTGCCGCCAATTCGGAAAGTAAAAACAGATGAAATAGATAGAACTGCCAGAAAATGATACTTCCAATTCACCTGTTGAAATATCGAGGGCAGATTCCATAAGCAATCTTCCCGAAGACTTGATATCGTATGTACTCAACTCACTCATCAAAGTAGTTCCGCTGGCAGAAATTAGTACCACCCGCTAACCTGCATGATGCGGACCTGTATTGTCCGACTACAACATCTCAATATTTAATCTTGTCATCCTTGATTTGCACAATGATTATAACTCACAACAAACTGTACTTCAAAGTTCAAACCTATATGAAAGTGAACTTACAATTACAACTTACAATTTACAACTCTCAGATATCATTCAACACCTCGCATTAATCGCGATCCTCCCCAAAACAAAGACACTCGAAATTAATGCCTCTAGATTGCATTTCAACCTTATATTAGTCTGAATTTCGAATTGGTTTAAACAAATTATTAAAATAACCGCAGAGTAAATGTTGTACTAGAAATATGTGAATCACAGACAATGGCAGTAAGATGTGCAGTGCCCAGGGCTCAATTCTAGGACCATTATTATTTCTTTTATATGTAAACGATATTTGCAATGTTTCTAAAGTGTTAGAACTGATATTATTTGCAGATGGCAATGTGTTTATATCTCATCAAGATATTGTATTTCTTCAAAATATGTTTAATGCAGAATTTGCTAAACTGGTTGATTGGTTATATAAACATTAACGTGTAATCAATATAAATTAGAAGAAAATCATCGATGTTACTAAAATAAAGGTTAAAGTTAAAGGGATAGTTGAGTTCTGTTTTCAGACCGCAAATACCTTCATAGTGCATAGTTATTGCTCTTATTCTTATCTATGACATTTATAGTGCCCTTTTAGAATCTAAAATTGCTATAAAGGTAATTTTAGACCCCAAGATGTGTGAAATTTAGCCAATACATACCAATTCAGCTCCACTTTCCAAAAAGACCGTTAATTATTTAATTAAAAATAACAATACATGAGCCGGCAAATTGTGGGTAATATAAGCAACATGAAAATGCCAAGGACTAAAAAATCCAACATCGGCATTGGCTGAAATACGACGTAAAAGGCGTTATTTCATTTTTTCAACTGTTTTTTCAAATTTTTCAAAATATCTAATAATTGTGGTGGTACACAAGTATTAGAAATCGTTATATTTCAGCCGTCTCTGAACCGATTTTGATCAAACAAATATTATTTTGTCATTTAACTATCATGTTCTTTCAAATTTGACACTCAGTTTTTCATTATCTCACAAAAAACATTATTTTGTGTAGCGCCCTCTGCAACAGAACTCAACTTTCCCTTAAGGAATCTGTTATTGAACAAGTCACGCATTTAACATCTTTGGGGTCACAATTGGTGATGAATTAATTTGGAAGGAATACACTGGTGTCATCTGCAATAGATTGGCTAAACGTGTTGGTGTAATTTATAAATTGAAATATTTTGCTACAGAAATATTGATGATTTTATATAACACATTAATATTGCCCCACCTAAATGCATTGTATTTTCTATGGGCATGCTGCAGTATGCCAAGTACTAATAGGCTTCTAATGTTACAGAAGAAAATGATATGAATAATATCATACAGCCAATACCGTGTAATATTAGATAGCTTATAGACAGATACCGAGATGTGATTGGTCCAGAGCTCGTCACGTGATATCAATTGCGAGGATCCAAATTGTTATATTTTCCTGGTTGGTTATATTTTCCTGGCTGGTGAAATGAATATATTTTTAATCAATGCATGTCGCCCTCTTGATGACTGTATGTTACCTATTACACACATTACACCATTACCGAGGGTCATTTTATTTTTTCCAATTTTTTTTTCATGATTTTTTTTTCCCTTGAAATTATTTTTTCCACATTGTTTTTTTTTCCACAAAAATGCTTTTTGGGGTAATTTTTTAAAAAAAAATTTGTAATTTTTTTTCCTGAAAAATGCTTTTTGGGGTAAGGTTTTTTTTTTTTTTTTGTAAGGTTTTTTTTTATTTCTTGAACTATCTCGAAAGATTATTTTTCCGTGATTTTGAATGTCCCCGAAAAAAAAAAAAAATTTGGGGCAAAAAAAAATATGGACCCCCCCCCCCCACCCCACAAAAAAAACAAACAAGGATATCTAATATAATAGTTATTGACTGGCAGGGGGGTATTTTTTTTTTTGTAAGGTTTTTTTTATTTCTTGAACTATCTCAAAAGATTATTTTTCCGTGATTTTGAATGTCCCCGAAAAAAAAAAAATTTCGGGCAAAAAAAAAATGTGGACTCCCAACCCACAAAAAAACTATCTAATATAACAGTTATTGACTGGCAGGGGGTATATAACATTCTTTGGACCTGAAGGGAGTTATATTTCCCTCGTGACCATATTTTCCCTTCAGCGGTCCAAATAATGTTATATTACACCCCCTGCCAGTCAATAACTGTATAATACTTTACCTCTTTTTTTTTTACAACCTAAGCTCTTTATGAGTAGGTCCCTATACAATATTTATGGTTATCAATGTGCAATTGTAATGTATTTATACTTTAAAAAACTTTTACCAATTACTATTTTGCATGATTTTAAACTCAATAAACTTTATAAAATTATAAACTCAATTTCTCACGAAATCCTACTGTCCTACCCGCAATTCGCGTTGACGGTCTAGAACTACAATCCGTCAATACTATAAAGCTTCTCGGCATTCTGATCCAAAGTGACCTGAAATGGGAATCAAATGTTACAGATATCATCAAAAGAGCAAATGGAAAACTTCACATGCTACGTATCTTAAAAAGGCACAGCCTTCCAGTTCGTGATTTGTTAACCATATATGATGGATATGTTCGGCCTATCCTCGAATATGGACACCGGTTTGGAATAGCGGCATCACCAAGAAACAATGCGAAAGCTTAGAAAAAAATCAAAAGCGAGCCCTCCGCATCATCGTTGGTGCTCGCTATACTACTTACCAGAACGTTCTTACCTGATGTGATATGGAAACACTTGAGCAAAGGAGACATTCGCTGTGCACCTCTTTCATTGGAAAAAGTATTTCCAGGAACCAATTAAAGAACATCTTACCCCAGATTACTCAGAAAAGAGTCCTTAGACATACTAAGAAATTACCTGAACTACGTTGCCGACCAAACAGAGTGAAAAACAGCCCCATACCATCACTTGTACGCATCTACAATTCTAGTTAACAAGAAATCTACTTTTATTTTTGTAATACTACCAATATTATAGTTGTGATGTAATCCCATAAGTGCAATACAAGGCAAACTATGGTTTCAATTACTGATACACACAAAATATGAAATCAATTTTTTTATGCAATTTGTTTTTTTATACATTTATATTCATATACCAATTTTATATTTATACTGGGGTCTAATCTTTGTATCTGTATAATAGATCACTATATTTTCTGTACCGAAGTTAAAAATCTGTGTTTAACCATTTATTTTAAATTGTTTAAATGACTGAAATTATCTTCCATGGCCAATGTTACAGTTGTCTCCTCTTCCTCTACCACTTCTACTTTCCCACCTCCTTTCTTCATCTCGACCTTATCCTTACTTCTCAATCCTCTTCTCCCTCTTTCTCCTTTTGCTTTTGCTTCTTATAATGGTTCTCCTTTGTTATAGTCTGGTTGAAATGTTATAACCTTTCCTTAGAGTAGCTTTTACCTAGAGTAATTTTTTTTTTAATTCGTACAATTTTTCATATAAGTATTTATTTTCTTCATAACTTCGCCTATATCATTAGTAGTTTGTATAATGTGTAATACTTGAATATTGATATCGATACATTATGATAGTGTTACTATTCGCACTACCCTCTGTCTATCATCTTACTATCCCTACTTGAATCTTCTTCTTCTTCTTCTTCCTCCTTCTCTTCTACTTTCTCTCTTCTCCTTCCTCTTCATCCTCTTTTTAATCATACCATCCTCTTTTCTATGCTTTCTTTACTCTACACCACCATCATGTTCTTCTTCACTTCTATTTATATCCTTTATATATAAAATGAGTTAGGGAGATCAAATAATAAGAAATAAGCTTTTAAAGTTATTTTTATTTTTTTTAACAATCTACTCATTCAAGTTTAGTTCATTAATTTGAGGTTATTTGATATGAATGTTGTTATATACTGTATTTTACATTTGTAAAACATTGCCCAATTCGGCCTTGTAGGCCGCGATGCATTGTTGTTCTTTTATTCTCAATAAAACCATTATCTATCTATCTATCTATCTATCAATAAGAATATTCATGACCACCAGACAAGGTATTCAAATAATGTTTATATTCCAGGGGTAAGAACACTGGTTTCCCAAAATACAATTTTTTTCAGGGGTCCCAAAATTTGTTGTGATATACCAAATAGACATTAGACCGAGCTCATCACTGAATAGTTTTAAAAGAAAATTTAAATTGTATTCATTACAAAAATACTCAATAGTGCAATAACCTATAACTTGAATTTTCATCATACAGATCGATAGGTATGTGTTGGTGTGTATGACAGAGGGTGTATGTGTGAAAATTAATTATTTCCTTTTTTCTTAACTTTTATTGAAACGTTAGTTTTGTATACAATCAATGGAGACTGACTTTTACACAGCCTTCTTGCCTAGTTTCCAAATACTTTAATTAATGTACATATTTATTTATTAAAACAAAAATCCCGCTTGCTCTTCATGTCATCTCCGTTTGTGTCGTCCTCATGTTATATATTAATACATGTATTATATTTTAACTTTGTCTTGTTTGTTTTTCCTTTGTTCGTTTTAATAAAAGTATTGAATAAAGTAAACTTAAACTTGAACTTGAATTCAACAACGCCTTTATCTCATGTTATCTATTAAATTACAGTAAACGGTTACATTTATCGCTGCTTACTGGCGTTAGTGCAAAAAACGCCTCGTGTTCACCCTACTGCAGTGGCTCCTTGGGAATCCCCTGAACCGACTTCCGGTTCCGGGCGAATCTTCATCTCACACGTCTTGAAGGAGTCCCCAATGCGCAGCCCACCGCGCCATATCACACCCCTGAAATGTCGTAAGCCAGTATCCGTGCCATTTTGGTAGATCCCGTTGAGGTTACTCGCAAAGCAATACCTGAACCACCATCCTGCCCGATATTTAGCTGCACAATTCGAGAACTTGGCGTTATTCCGGTCCGGAGTGCTGAACCTTTGGCCGTCGTGATACATAAGACCGTCGCCTACGATATATAAAGATAAAATAACTCGTGTGATAGTATAAGTAAAGGAGATTTAGAGTTCATTTAAGTCCTGTACTACATGTTTAACCAAAACATTTCGTCTCTCTCTCTCTCTCTCTCGCTTTCTCTCTGTTTATAAAATCATCTTACGTCTCATTTATTCTATAACAAAATTATTTATCAAACCAACACATCTGCCCATTGCACTTCTTCCCTAATTTCTATCGTTACTTGGTTTTGAAATGAAGAATAATAGAAAACGCCGACAACCCCCCATAAAAAGTTAACGCAAACCCAGTCCACAGACGCAAACACGTATATGCATTTACACGTCACCTGGGTCCTGTTTCATTAAACTTGTTTTCAGTAACAAATTCCATAGATTTAGGACAAATCTGCGCACATTAAATCAAATCCATGGATTTCATAGCTTAATTTAGAAAATTATCGCAACTTGTTATTGATAATAATTTTATTTCTAATGAAAAGGGCCCTGTATTCATAATGATGAATCTTTTTGAGGAATATATCTCCTTTAGGCATATGCCTGTGACGTCTATATACACAAATGAATTGTAGGTTTTGTCGACCGCCCCAGACCTCCTCTTTACTTTCGTCTGTATCAGGACAATAACCACACGGAAAATTACCCCCAAGGCCAAGCAGATTTTTTTTTTTTTTTTTTTTTTTTTTGGGGGGGGGGGGGGGGGGTAATTGTCCTCGAGGGGGGGGTGGGCTTATTGTCTAAGGGGTAGATATTTATGGGGGGGGGGTCAATTGTCAACGGAGGGCAATTGTCCTAGGGGGTAATTTTCAGGGAGGTAAATGTCCTTTGGGGTGATTGTCCCGCAATTAATTGGCTGGGGGAGATTGTCCAGGGGGTAATTGTCCTAGAACCTATACTGCCTTTAATCGAGTCTCTGAACAGTTTATATTCGTTTGCTTTTGTTTAAAACTTCCTTGTCCTATAATCGGTTCCCACTAGACTTCTCTCTCTCTCTCTGTCTCTTTCTCTGTCTTAATTATATTAAATAAATAAATCAATCAATCTTTTATGTTCATCGTGATGTGACATTAATATGCCCGCATAACGCAAACGAAAAACAAGTCTGAACTCTTTATTTAGCCACGCAAATAATGTCCATGTACCACATTATATTCATCACGGGATACCTAAGGCTTCAAGACAATTGCATCATTCTCCAGTGCAGCATTAATCTATACTCAAGGGTTGCCGTGGAGCTAATTAAGACCGGTAATAACGCAATCCTTCCGTCTATAATTATTGGTTCTTACTCTTATGTGCAGAGTTATCCGTGTTGCAATCGAGCGACAGCGCAGAGGGGCCAAGAAAGCAACCGAAATGTTTAATATTTTTGAAGACTTGTTATGAGAGAAATTACCTGCAGTACCAGAATAGCCATGGACAGTCAGGTTGTACAGTCCGGTCCTATCAGCCATCTTAAAGAGAACGTAATTTGCATATCTCGTGTTTCCGTCGAAGTCTTCCAGATCGATCCGTAATTCGTACTTCTTCTGGTCGGTCAGTCGGTGAATCTTCTCGTTACCTAGCCAGTGTTCGGAAGAGACGCTTCCGAAGCCAATCTTGTAGTCCGACCAAGACCGGAAGAAGTCTACAGAACCGTCAATTCTACGCTGGAAAACCTACGAAGAGAGGGAAAGAAATCAGGCAATAGTTCACTATGTCATGTGGTACAGTGAGGTCCTTCTGGTCCGATCATGACCTACATGACTATGCCTCCGTCAACTTGAGGCCAGCCCTTCCCCCCCCCCCAATTTTCAGACCCTGAGTTTGATGGTGTAGTGTATTACATATCTTATAATAACAGATTTGTTTATGTTTTTTATGTTTTTAAGTCTGAGGTTAACTTATATTGAATTTCCGTGTAAGTTGAACTGCATGCGTATGCAACAACTGGGCTCCCCCCCCCCCCCCCCCTCCAGCAAAGGAATCTCCTTGCTCACAGGTAGTGTAGTTGTGTTTGTAGCCAGTGCGTCACGTGGTCACTTAACTATGATGCATTCTGAACAGTCCACGCAGTAGACCTTGGAAGTTTCTACTGCGCATGCTCTTCTACTTACCGTCCAGCCGCCCCCATCGGTCTCCATGTCGCAATAGACGTTCATAGGAACCCCGGGGTCAATGCTGTACACACCGCTCACGTTCATCCCACTAGCCCGGATGTCAGCACAGTCGAGCGGTTGCCCGGGAAACACCGAAGAAGATTTTTCCAAATCTTAAGCCCAGTGAATAAAAGATGATAAGAATTTAATTGATCAGCGGAATGGTGGTATTTCGTGATTTTTTTAGTGCAATCGACATGCGCAAAAAAGGCGAATAAAAATATTCTTCTCCGCAGAAAACTATAAATAGCCATTTTATAGCAATTTAATAGCCTTTCCCCCTCCATAAATATGAACGTTAACTCGATAATCCTACTTGGCGTGGGAATCATCTTTCTTTCATTCATTATCATAAAATCGTATCGACTGGCTCGTAAGTTTGGCGACTTCAAATTTCGTGAAAGAAAAAGTTTTTTCTCTTATTTTCTAATTCACTTTAACTATCGCAGTCTGAGTAAAGGTATTTCAAAGCAAGGATTGAGAATACTGAGATTCCAACAATCTTTGATTTAGCCCCCACTCTCGTTCACATCACGTGCGCTGATATTATTATATTTTAAATAAAAAATTAAACATAAATATACACTTTTTAAAATTAATTATTATACTTGAAAATATTGATCAATATTTGTACAATTGTTATATTTTATGTTTTATGGGTAGAAATACACCTGAATTGAATTTGAATTTTTCCACATATCGCCACGATAAAAGTTCCTGTATCATACTGATAACAAAACCATTAATAATAATAATATTGAATATTTTATGGCCCACATATCGACCACACAAGCCTTTCTATTATAAACATTGCCCTGTATAGCTAGGCTCCCGATTTTGGTGCTCACAGTATTCAAGGAATTCCTTCCTAAGATTACCGATTTAACGCCTAGGCGGATAGTTGAAAATGTAGATCGATTTCTCCTCGTCATATCAAATTGTATTATATGATCTACACAATTGAAATGAAAACTCTACCGATTTCACAATTCTTCCGCTGAACAGGGATAGACTCTTTTTCAGGTTTTCCGTAAGATCGTTTGTCATCTACAGGGTATGTCGTCTTTTGTGGAATTTCTTTCCCATCTTGAACGACTGGTTCACAACTATCATCGTCATCTACTATCTGGCCAAACGATTTGATAGCCGATATCCAACCTAAATGGAATACAAAAACGAATCAACGTTAAATATATATATTATCACTTTTTAGAGCTTATGCGTGAAATAAAGTACGTTTAAAGGGGATTCTTGAGAAAAAAAACATTAACGATTAACAAGTAACAATTAACGATTTTTACGTGTTTGAAGGTCAAAGGGAAAGTCATCTCTGATATTAAGATATTAAGGGGGGGGGGGGGGGTTAAGAGGACACTTTTTTTTTTTTTTGGAGTCCGGAAAAAATTGCAACGACTCAGTCAGTCGAAAAGTCGCTCAGTGGGGGGGGGGGGGGGGGGGGGGGGGGGGGGAGGGGGAAGGTAAGAGGACACTTTTTTTTTTTGTCTCGAAATTTCAAAATTTGACATTTTGTTCCGTTGGGGGGAGGGGGATAAGGTCACCTTTTTTAGCTCAGCCATTGCCATAATTATTATTATTATTATTTTTTTTTTATATAAAAGAAAAAAGAAAAAACTCAAAAGAGGAGGGGGGGGGGGGTTTCACAAAAAACATACACAAAACATACATATAAAAAAACTCAAGGGGGGTTTAACCCCCCCCCCCCCCCCCCCCTGCGTACGCGCCTGCCTTTGGCAAGACATTGATCTGCATTCGCAACGGCAGCCGTGCTAAAGACAGGCTAATAATCGGGAGCGTCAGGAATGTCAAGTCTTGCAGACATAAGCGCTATACAAGAACCCACTATGACTATTTGTATTTGTATTTTTTTTTAGTAATACAATTTTACCGTTTTGATATCTTATTGACCATATTGTGATCACTGGCGACTAGCTTGCACCAGGTCCTCAAGGAAATGATAATACTCATGATATAAACCTTGATTTGATCTTGATTGAATAGAATATACTTTGATCTAAATTGAACAAGGTGTCGTTAAAAAGCTATGGTGCAACACTCCTTACGTCAAGTATATGTTATTGTTTCTTCAAACAGGGGGGCCTTGTTTTTTTTTTTAATTCACCAATGCGGGCTTTTATTGACGTTTTATTTTCATAAATTCTTCCTATAAACTGGCACACCACTAAATAAATTGATGAACAAATTGATAGTGCACGAGTATTACAGTGGGGTGTCGGGAAGACACATAATTATGTACTATTCAAACTCAATACTTACCCTGGTCGAACTGCGCAATTACTAGTGCCGTGAGAAGAACAGCTCTGCAGCTAAACCTTGCCATATCGAGAGGGTCAGATGAAGTGACAGGTATCGCTATTAGTAGCTCTCAGTGGACGGAATTATACCTCATTAGAATATGCAGCATCAAGACCACCGTGACGTAAATGATTTTATTTCATAACCAGTGACCCTATGACAGAACGTGGAGCTGAAGCGTGAGTGCCGTCTGGACTCTTTTGACCAGTATACTCCTCCTCGTAATCACGTAAGTCGTAAAACTACCACTTCGTGACAAATCTGGAGTAATTGGTTGCGTGAGTTCAATTTTCTTTTTAATTTCAGAAATGAGGGTAGCTTCACGCTCTTTGCTTATATGCTCTTAAAATTAATAATGGTAAAAGCAATAATGGCGGTGATGATGACGATAATGATGATGATGATAATGATAGTAATAGTAATAATAACCTCTGGGTTTATGAAGTAACAGCCATAAAACAGCGTTCTTACTATATATCATCAAATAAGTTTGATCGTCAAGATTTGTGCTTGCAAATACTTAAGGCCTATAAGTGGGTTATTTAGCAAGCAGTTCTGCTATTGCCTTTTAGACTTTTCTATACAATTATCGTGATATTATAGCTTGAAAAAAGTGTTGCGTTTCTGTGTTAAGGCATCGTTTAACTATGTTAAATCTGAGATGCACGACCCTACCTGTTATCAGTGTCTGTGATATGGTGTAATATTGAAGCCCTAAAAAAAAAATCGCGCTTCAAAATAATCACGAAGTGCCTCAAAAAAGTAAAAATCTTTGAGTGACCGGTTTTACCATACTCGTTTTCCTTAATAGACTGTAGTGCTAAGAAAACCGTTTAGCCAACGGTTTTCAAAATTTGTAATTCCAATCATAAATATCTTGATAATCAGACAGGCAATCGGCTTGTAAAAGTCATGGGGTCCTGACTGACCTAAAGACCTTGTGGGGTCACTCCCCTGCAAAGAGTGACACGTATGACCGTTACCACCAATGCATATAACCCCTTTTGCGGTCAATTTCAAGGACATTTTGTTGAAAACCCTTTTTTACGTCAAAACAAGGACAAAATCCTACTTTGGAATACCCCTATTTATAAGATTGTAAGGACACTTTCGCAAATTAACCCCTATTTACCATATTTAAAGGACAAGACTCGGCTCCGAGAATTTTTCTTCCCGGTTTTCTCTTTTCCCTTTTCCTGACCCCTATTTATCAATTTTGGGGACACCTGTGCACCCCTATTTTCTTTATTTCGAGGAATATTTTTCCGCGGACATTGCTTGAAATTGACCCCTTTTTCCGCGATTTTGGTAACGGTCATGCGGTCCGGAAGTCACATTGAGTGACCCCACCGGGCCTAAAGGTTTATAATTATCATTGCAGCATGAGCTAAATCCAGGATTTTGTTTCAGAATCTTAGACGGATCCCTTTAATAGCAAAAGCTTCAAAAGTTTTAATAAATAGGTACGAAAATGTGATGAGCTCTAGTCAAGCTCTGCTTCTCTTGGAGGGGCGCCATTACATAAATACATATTCGACCATTGCTTATTTTAAATCAAAATATGCTGCGAATTCCTGGATAAATAGTTTCGTTAATAGTTTCAATCAACAGACTGATTGGCCCGAATCCACAAAGGAGGTTGTCGATAAACCTTGGTTTTCGTACGTCATATGACGCGTTTTACGCGTTTTTTACACACCTTGTTTGTAAAGAACAAAAGGAGGTTTGGCGAAACAAAAGAAGGTTTGAGCTCAAACCTTGGTCTGACCTCAAACATTGCTTTAATTCGGGCCATTATGTGTGTTCGACATAAAATTTGAATCCAGTTTAATCAATGAGGACGTGTTGCATCTAATCGTTGGTAAAGTTTACTCAAGGCACAGTAAGGCCTACCCATTCACGATTAACATGAACAGTTGACAAGGTATTAATCAGTAATAAAGGCATACGTTAGGTACTTAGCTATTAAAAAAAACTTCCACCTCCCTAGTAATACTTACGTTATGGAATCGATCAGAAAAGTTTGACCATCTAGCATATAAGTATTGGTGTGTAAGATTCTGGAATCATCTACATGATACGAAATTTGGTCCAGTCTTGGTAAAGTTACAAACACTGTACAATGAAAGATTTATATGGGACTACAAGAAAATCCGTCCCGATTGTTATGATGTTACATGTCTAACCTAACTACCATGACTACTGATGATCATTCCTTTTCTCATAAGTATGTGCGAATAGTGCAGATTTTGAACTGAGGTAAATCTCGAGTGTATCAAATTTTGTCAAGCTATGGCTGAACAACCCATTCAAGCTTTAAAGGTAATACAAAGTTTTGGGAAATTTTGAAAATTGGGTGGATAGTGATTCTTTACAATTTTTATATATTTGGATGCCCCTGTGGATGTATTATAAGCACTAGAAAATTTAACCCCTAAAACACTTCTGCTTTCGAGAAAAATTGAATATAAAAATTTACCGGTGCTCCCGGTAAATTTTGATAAATTTCAAATAGCGCATACGGCCGTACTATGGTAGTTGCTACCATGAAAATCTCAGAATATGCAGTTGTGATATATAATTTCCAAATGGGAATAGCCAATTGGTCGATTTAAGTCAAGAAAACATTGTTTCTTAGCTAAATGAAAATATTGACCTTGAGAGGGAGCTATACAACAAAAAGAGTTTATTATTTACAATTTCATAACTTTAGACTCGATTTCAACCGGAACAATGGTCACTGAATATTGTAGGATCGCATATGCTTCAAATATTTTCATTTAAACCAAATTCATGACCCCATACCAAAACTTTGTATTACCTTTAAGGACGGCAAGATAATCACAAGAGGGCAAACACCTTTTATTAGATTGTAGAATAATCTAAACATCCAAAAATGTAAACAAGAAGTGAAAATCACTCGCCACCTTCCCCACCTTCCCCACCTTCCAACACAAGAACTAGAAGTGGCATTTGCAACTGCACTGTTAACACTTTGGTTGCTTTCTTCGCCTTTCTACACAGTCGCTCGTTTGTAAGAAGTGCATTTTTTTTATAGACACCGATGTACGAAAGGATTGCTTTGTGCAACACAATGGCTTTGCAAAATAATCAATTTCCGGTCTTGATTCAAGCGCGTAGCAAGGATTTTATTTTAGGGGGCGCGGTAGTGAGCGTGCGAAGCGCGATCCCTAGGGGGTGGGTGCAGGGAAGCTTTGAAAGAAGACAATTCGTTGTACCTTTCTCGACTCTTAATCCTTGTCTGAATTCAGTCCACCCCTCCTGCGCATAGCGCGGAAGCTTTGACGTTACATTAATTTATTAGAGAAAGAAGACGATTCGTTGTACCTTTCTCGACTCTTAATCCTTGTCTGAATTCAGTCCACCCCTCCTGCGCATAGCGCGGAAGCTTCGACGTTACATTAATTTATTAGAGAAAGACGATTCGTTGTACCGTTCTCGACTCCTTTTCCCTTTTTCTTCCTACGTTCTCTTACTTTTTTTCCTTCTTTTTATCTCTCTTTGTTCCCTTGGCTACGCACCTGTCTTGATTAGCTCCATGACAACCCTAACACTGGTACATTTTATTTATTTATTTATTCATACAAATCTATACAGGTACACAAGATCAGAAATAAATCTGTTTCACATATTGGACCTGGTATTAAAAGCATAGTATAACAAGTAGTAACAATGAGAATTCAGTATTCAGAATTTAAGTATAACAAAGCAAAATACAAAATAAATACAAAGTAATACAAAATATGGTAACATATTAACCTTACACTGGAATCTGTCAAATAATCTTTGAGCCTTTGTTGTATCTATATCATGATACATCCAATTCAACGGTAGGTTATTTATTATCAATGTGGCATACAAAGGGTTAAGACATATCACATACTCCCGCTCTGCTGTCGTGGCAGTACCTTTAGATTCTGGTTTGTTTTATCATGAGGAGCTTCGGTTTAACTAGGAGATTAAAGCTGCTTGAGTTTAACGAGTCTAATTTGATTGATATCATCACGTTTTCTTCATTCACATATCAAACCTCTGCGATGGAAACAACTTATCGACGCGGTGAACTTCTGGCCTTTGTGTATTTGCTTGTTTCGGTAACCTTGAGTAAGTGAATTTCAAATTTGCCTGTTTCTATAATCTCCACAACTATCCAGATACAACTAAAATGATATTATAAATGAAATGTCCATATTTGAACTTCTCTTTCGTGTCTAAGTCCAAGGTTTTCAGTTAGGCATAGGACTCTGTTTGCAACTACCTGTACGAGGCAGTTTAACCGAGCAGTTAAAAATATCACTGATGATGCCAGGTACCACGCAAACATCAAACGAAGGTTTTATATTGCACGGAATACATTCCTGGCAGTGAAAAACTTATTTACAGCAAGAAATTTGAACTTAGAAAAAGACAAATATCTTTAAAAAGTGGATGTACTGCGTGAAGATATGCTGTCTTAGGCCTAATTTCGTGTACCCTCTTGATCCATTCTGTTTAGTTCCGATTTTAGCTCTGAATTCGCCCGACACATTGGAACACGATGATACTTGTGCACCACTTGTTCAGGACGGAAAAGAAATTCCACAAAGGGCGGCATACCGTGTAGATGACAAACGCTCCTTCGGAAAACCTGGGAGTGCGTCTCACCCGGTTCATAAGAAACACTGTGAAATGGGTAAATATGTATTTTCCTAATCAGTAATGGGGTTTTCGCATACACTCCGGGGCCCGTACGGCGAGTTAAACAGACATTTGGGAATTTTCGGCCGGCGTGCGGGCCGGCTGCCGTAAAGTTCCTACGGGCGCCGGGACAGTCTTTTAAGCCGAACGGGCGCCGCGGTGCTGAGTTGGATGCTCCCAATTCTCCCGGCGTTTTTATCTGACCGTCAGGCCGTAGAAAGCCCGTAAAGGGCCCGTAGGGCACCTTACTGGTCCCGTGCGGGCTCCTCACGATTTTGTTTGGTCAATTCTCATAAAAAAAATCCTTACGGGCGCCTTGCGGTGCTCAAGGGTGCCGTACGGGTATCCTACGGCTCTCTCACCGGCCCCTCAAGTGATATGCATAACACCCGGCGTCTGCCGTCTCGGGGGTAATTTGAAATGAATATTACCCGTGCGGGCCCCTCACAGTGGCATCTCACATAACATTATGAGGACTGCCGCCCCTCTCAAGAATGTTCAAATTTTTTTTTGTATTTCGTAACAAATCATTGTCATGATAGCAACTATTTTCATAAAAATCAACCCAAGGCAATATCAATAGCCGTGAATTCGACTTTTAACTCGCCTTCTTCGATTGCACTTGTGTAGATGGTGTATTACAAAGTATAGATACTGGAGTCGAAATGACCCCATATTTTCATACTTTCAAGACAAATTTTCCCTCAAAATGCACCCCTATTTTGGCTTATAGAGTAAATTCACTAATTCTTACAAACCGGTACACTGGTAGGCTTACACGTGCATTAACATGATTACGAACATCGTGAAATTATTAACGTCTTCTTCCGTGTATTTTCTTGCCCATCCCCAGCCCTAGCCCCAGCTCAACCCCCCCCCCCCCCGAAAAAGTATACCCAAATTGTTCAAAAATATTTGCGAACATTTTGTCATCCCAGAAAATTTACTCCTGTTTACTATTACTCAAAGCATTACTATGTATATTATCTTACATACATCGACTTATTTATCATACGTCCTCAAAGTGAATGTGAATTAATACCACAGGGGCTGCCTGTGTATTTGAATATGTAGATGAAAAGGAAATAGCCACATGTTCTTGTTCTGCACGGTCTGGAAAAAAGTGTATAGTTTACGTGGCTTTACATACACGCGAAGGCCTACGAAGTAAAATGTTTATTAAGATTCGGCTATAAAAGCCATCCTGTACAATCCCCTCTAGCTCCATCACATGTCAGCTGCAGTAGTATAGTGAAGTGTGACGTCATCCTAAAAAAATATCAGTTTTTAGAATTTCTCTATATTTTCTTCATTTTCCGAAAGAGCATCAAAAATAATATCCAAATGTAGAAAACCAATTTAATATGTTAAGTATTGGCTGAGATATAACCATCTTAATAAATATATTTCCTATATGAACTTAGTGTTATATGATCTGGCTCCTAATTGGTCTTCAACATTTGGACATTATTTTTTGATGCTTTTTCGGAAAATGAAGAAAAAATTGAGAAATTCTAAAAATGGATTTTTATGACGTCACAGCTTCGGTACTCTATTGTCTCTTAACTCATAGCCTGCCATAAGGCTGCATGCACGTTATTTTTATAGTGCTATGTACACGCGAGCAAGCTACTGTTACTCTGCTTCTTGCATGATTGCACGCATTCGTAATAGCAGTTATTGTTCATGCCCATTGGACTGTGCCTAGTGTTTTGCACGCGCTATTGGTAGTACCATCGCGTTAATCCGATTATGTCGTTATAAATTTGACACTGGAGGGATTTGTGGCTTGGCACAATGGGGATTAGCCCTGTGGCAGGATAAGAGTTAACTTGAGAGTTCCCTAGCTGCAATGTTGGTTGTCGAGTCCTCTCTCTTCGACGTGGAAATTAGGTATCGGGTTAAAGGCACAGTTGGCAAGTTGACATTGGGATGGCAGTTCAGTATCGCTTTAAGATATTAATTTTTTTTTTCATTACTAAAACAAACAGACGATAAGCGATTTTCGTCGGTGTTTCCTGGACAACCACAAGACTGTGCTGACATCCAAGGCAATGGGGTGAACATCAGCGGTATCTACGGTATCTATCCTGGTGGAGTCGGTAGGCCATTCAACGTCTACTGCGACATGGACACCGACGGTGGGGGCTGGACGGTGAGACAAATCATTAGGGTAGCTATGCGGGGATAGTTGTCTGGGGATAATCGTCCCATGGGGTAGTTGTCTGGGGGTAGTTTTCCGGGGGTAGTTGTCCTAGAGGGTGGTTATCCTAGGGGTGGTTATCCGGGGGTAGATGTCCAGGGGGTAGGTGTCCGGATACACTTTTGACTACCTCAAATGCGCCACAAACTTCCCTTCAAACCCTTGTTTACGAAGAGGCTTGCGTTATGTGCGTGTTAGTCTGCTTCCCTGAGGCGTCTTATTATTCTTCAGGGACTATTAAGACTTTTAGGACTTTTAATACAGCCCCTGGAGACATGAAATGGTCGTTAATTTGATTTATATTCAGAGTTTTATCTTCTAAAATGATCGTTAACGCTCTCTTGGCGCTATTTAATAACGAAATAATGACCTTTGTGAGAGGTTGGAAAGGTTTAGGCTCCGAAGAACCTGGCTTCTTAAGAACAAAAAATTAAGAAGTTTTCAAGGTTTTATCTTCAGAATATGACATGATCAAAATCAAATGACAATTGGGAATATGCACTGTCTTCAAATGTCAAGAGTATCGATTTATGAAATGAAGGATTAGCTTATAAGCTTTATACGGCACACTGCAGACTATGTGAAATATAAAGAAGAAAACAAAACGTTCAGTTTTATCTCCAGTATTCAGGTAATGGAATCACACAAATAATTCCAAAGTGATTTCGAATTGAAATGAGGCACCGAGCCCTTACAGAAAGCCTGTATGTCTCGTATAGTGCCGGGTACTTACAGAAAGGAGAAAGGAAAACAACATTTTATTACCTAAAAGAATCATCTTGCCTTAGAAATTTCGTGACAAAAAAAATGAAGCTCCCTCTAATTATACTATAAAAATGTTTAACTGTTATGGTAGCATGAAAAGACACTTAATAAGATGTCAAAATGCATTTAATAAGTAAGTTGGATTCCAAGTGGTGGAAAGTGATGAAAAATACCCAAGATAAGTGATAATTATTTTCCATTTTCCATTAGCTTTAACAGATCCCGTTATAAACATAGATTGGCCAACTCGGCTTCAGTTAATTTTGTGTGTGTTTGCCTTACAAAGCAACACATGCCATAATCCAACTTGCAAAATCTATATTTCGATGGCTCTGATCAATAGCTTACAATGACGCCTAATATAGTAGTGATGTAATATTACTGTGCGGAAAAATAGGTTATTAACTATAAGAAAAAGAGGAGAGTTAAGTTAATGAGGAACCGAGATAAAGGGAGTAACAGAGAGAAAGATGGGAATTAAAAGAATGTCGGAGAGAAAGAGAGGGAGGGGGAGAGATCGAGAGAAAAGGCAAGTGGGTCAAATTTAGTGCAAAGATTCTTTTTCGGGGAGGTTAGGAAAATTGTGCGACAAACAGAAATAAGAATTATAATAAAATAAAGCATAAAATAACATAACAAAATCTTCGGATATGAGAATTTTGGGTAACAAAGCCAAGAACATTTTCATTTGCTGTTCATTATAATTGAAACGGATATACTTCCAATGTTAACAAAAGGAGTCGTTATTGACAACTATGATAATGATAATAATAATAATAATAATAATAATCATAATAATAATAATAATAATAATAATGATAATAATAACTAGAAACATCGCAATCTGTATTGCAGCGCAATGCGAATGTATCCCCCGGCAGTGGCAGTGATTTTGTGTCATCCTTATGTTTGGAGGAGGGACATAGATCCTCTCTCCCCTCCCTGAAACAAAAGGATGACGTAGAGATCACCACTAGCTAGTGGCTCAGACTATTTTCAAGACTAGGAGCAGCATCACCAAAACAATATGTGTGTAGATCAGAGTATAATGCAGCTCTGTAGAAAATTTGAAAGAAATCTGTCAAGAAATGTGGCAGTTAGAGCGCGCAAACTAAGGACAGCCACCAAAATATGACCTTTGACCCTATAACAGACGGTACAAAGGTGGCAGCATCACCAAACACTTAAGATGTGTAGATTGCACTCAGACTCAATACAACATTTGAAAAAAAATCTGTCAAGAAATGTGGCAGTTAGAGCGCATAAAAGACATATATATGACCTTTGACCATTAGGAGCCAGAGCATATAATACTGAGTTCCCATAGGACACATATTTATTCAGATGGACATATCTCAGCCAATACTTAACATATTCAATTGGTTTTCGACATTTGGACATTATTTTTGATGCTCTTATGGAAAATGAAGAAAAAATTAAGAAATTCTAAAGATATTTTTGTTTTATGACGTCACACTTCACCACTCTATTACCCCATCACAATGATCTTTTGAAGTAAATTACAGATGTATATTATGTGAGTTGACACTCATTGCTCGTGTATATGATACAAATGTATACACTTTATTTCCTGGTTAATAATTACATATATCAATATATCTAATTTTACGTCTTAAATTAGATGAAAAACATGATCAGACATGTGTAATATATTTGTCAATATTTAACTAAGAAAATATAAATCACAAAATTTATGTGCATTGTCAAATTTGCTTGACAGATAGTGATAATTATATTTTCTGTGAAAACATGCAAATTAATCATGAATATGCATAAGATACATTAAACTGGTTTTTCAATTGGTAAAAGCAACTGGTGATCATCTACTGGTTTCCAACTGGTAAATCAACTGGTAATCATACTGGTTTTCAACTGGTAAATCAACTGGTAATCATCTACTGGTTTCCAATTGGTAAATCAACTGGTAATCATCTACTGGTTTTCAACTGGTAAATCAACTGGTAATCATACTGGTTTTCAACTGGTAAATCAACTGGTAATCATCTACTGGTTTCCAATTGGTAAATCAACTGGTAATCATCTACTGGTTTTCAACTGGTAAATCAACTGGTAATCATCTACTAGTGTGCAACTGGTAAATCAATTGGTAATCATCTACTGGTTTCCAACTGGTAAATCAACTGGTAATCATACTGGTTTTCAACTGGTAAATCAACTGGTAATCATCTACTGGTTTCCAATTGGTAAATCAACTGGTAATCATCTACTGGTTTTCAACTGGTAAATCAACTGGTAATCATCTACTAGTGTGCAACTGGTAAATCAATTGGTAATCATCTACTGGTTTCAACTGGTAAATCAACTGGTAATCATCTACTGGTTTTCAACTGGTAAAGCAACTGGTAATATCTACTGGTCTCAGATGTCAACTGGTTTTTCTACTGGTTTCCAAATGGTATCAACTGGTATCAACTGGTACCAGTTGAGACCAGTTCAAACCAGCAGATACCAGTTGGAATCTTCACTGGTTTCAACTGGTATCAACTGGAATTTCGACCTGAGTTCGTTCTCCCACTTTGTATTGAGCTTAGGACGAACAAGAAATGCGGAGTTATGAGAGCGTAATTCAGGACGGACTGTAATAATTATCAAAGTAATATTGTTACTCATGTGGAGCAGAACCATAGATAAAGCAACAAGAATTTTCAAAACAATGCTTTCATTCATGGCAAATCCAGAAGCGGCGCCCCCGGGGGGGGGGGGCAGGGCACAGTAACCCCCACACTTTTTCAAGTAACCCCAAAGTGCCCCTTTTTACGAGAAAAGTACCCCTTTTTAATGTTCAACTCACGGGTACTGCATTATGAAATCGTCCCGCTTTTCTGATGCAGGTATCTTTCTCAGACGTTCATTTTTTATCGAAATATTGAGCCCGGAATTTTGTGAACAAAATGTATTGGGAAATCCCATCATTCAAAATAATATGAGGATGAACTGCAGCTCTTCTTTCTGTTAGCGCACATTGTCGATCTTACGTCAGATGCCGTCTGGCGATCGTTTCCTCGTCATTTCAGATCTGTTGCAGATCACCTCATTCGTAAGCAGTGACGAATTCCAGTCTAGTGATTAATATCATTTGTTTCAAACCTATGACCTATTAGCCTACATTCAGCTTTCTGGGACGAACATATCCCTTACAAGTCGGTACAATGCATGTGCTAGAGAGCCTTCTATATACAGAGTTTGGCCGACTTGGTTCCACTGGGTCACAACATGGCGTATATACTTTTGTTTTATGCTTGCTCAATCTGGGCTCGCTACGGTACGAAAAAATAAGACAAAAGCGGGTTGGCAAAACTATGTGTATAGTGCTAGAGCCTACAGCGCGCTCAACGTCCTTCCCTCTACGTGCAATTTTGGACATACTCCGTTGTCGTTGTTTTACTGCAGTTTTCAATCGTCGCTCATGCTTGCAGCGTTTCATCATGCACTCACGTTCTTCCCCTCTTCTCTCCCTTCCTCAGGTTTTCCAGCGTCGAATGGACGGTTCTGTGAGCTTCTCTCGAAACTGGTCGGACTATAAGATCGGCTTCGGAAGCATCTCTTCCGAACACTGGCTAGGCAACGACAAGATTCACCAACTGACTAACCAGAAGATGTACGAACTATGGGTCGATCTGGAGGACTTTGCGGGGGAAAACAAATACGCGATTTATTATCGTTTCAACGTGGGCAATGAGAGCGATCAGTACAAGCTGAAACTCGGCAGTCTCATCAACGGGACGGCAGGTAATCATCTAAACAAGTTGACGGCTTCCCACGAAAGAGAGAGAGTGAGAAAGAAAGAGAGATAAATACATACACTGTCGCTCATATAGTTGGAATATTTTTTTTTTACCCCAACGTGGTTATGCGGCTCTTTATGTAGGTAACCCCTTTTAATTAGCTTAGGGAAAAATCCACCTCCCCTGCCTTGCGTAGATGGCATTCGAAGGTGTAGCGAGCCTCCATTGTAGCTATACTTTGAATTTATTCTTATTAGCAAGCTAAGAAACACTGAAATGAGTGAGACAAGCCAACAAAAACGGATACCGGCCCGGTTGTCGCCCGGGTGAACAAGAAACGCGTCCCCCAGTGACAAACCAGGCTGAGGTCGGAAAATTGAATACTGGTTTCAAATCCAAATCTAGACTTAAAATCATAGATTGCAAAGCAGCAACTCTAATATCGAGTTTTAATGTCCGGTCTCTCAAATCAAAGGAGAAGATGGGAGAACTAACATCACTAGCTGAAAAAAAGAGAATAGATATTCTGTGTATACAGGAACATCATAATCATGAAAATGTGGATATTCAGATGAAGGACATGGGCAAAGGATGGGTACTAGCTATGTCTTCAGGCACCAAGAGTACAGTGAACAGCACAGTTGGAGGCAGTACTTGGAGGGGTCGGTATATTAGTGAATCCCTTTGATTATAAGTCACTGGAATACCTTGAAAAGTGAGTTCTCGTATACTTCAAGCCAAGTTCAGTAGAAATCCAGCTCCCCATGCCTTGAGCCATAATGCATGGTCGTACAGAGGACTTTGTTATGTTGGGGACCGGGGTAAAATGCAATGAATTATTGAAAATTTATTGTATTTTCTTTGTGTTTTTTTTAATTTGTGGGAACTGCCCCCTACCCTAGCCTCCGCTGCGTACAGTCATGGTTCAGTGGCCAAGCAATGGCCTCGTAACTGTGAGGCCCCAGGATCAAAACCGTGTCGATGTGCTATACTTTTGTGGGGCATTAATCCTCATTACTGTCATTTATGACTTTAGGACGTATGTCTCCCAGTTGATAAGCATAGTAGCATACAAATGCTTTAGCAGTCACGCAAAACAAACACTGGCAAGTTATTAATCAATACAAAGTGAGAGTGTATACTATTATCTAGATCTATTAGGAATAAATCATTGTCAAAATAATTCCGCAAATCGGGATAAAAAATTTATTCCAACTATATGAGCGACAGTGTATATATATATAGAGAGAGAGCGAGAGAGTGAGAGAAAGAGAGAGAGTGAGAGAGTGAGAGAGAGAGAGAGATAGAGAGAGAACGAGATAACTAGAAAGACAGATAAAAAGAGAGAAGAGAAAGATTTTTAACAAAGACAGATTGAATGAGTGAGAGCGAGATAAATAAATAGATGTATGGATAGACACAGAGAGAAAGAGATAAGTAGATAAACAGATAGAGAGAGAGAAAGAGAGGGAGATTATTGTATGGATAGATAGAGACAAAGAGATAAAATAAACGAGATACATATTTATAGAGAGAGAGAGAGAAACAAATTGTATAAATAGATAGAGAAGAGAGAGGTAGAGTTAAAGAGAAAACGAGAACTAGAGAAAAGGGAAAGATAAATAGAAATATATGTAAAAGAGAGATATAAAGGGAAGGAGAAAGATAGATAAACAAAAAAGGAGAAAGAGAGAGAGAGAGAGAGAGAGACGGGGGGGGGGGGGCATACTGGTAAAAAGCCTATCTTGTTAACTCGGTGGGGGCTGCCTGGTATATACAATCTTGACCTTCATACGAGAGGCCCTGGTTCGATCCTTGCTCGGTGCTTCATCGTCCCTCTCTACCCAGGTGTAACGGGAAACATTTCATCTATAATATTCTTCCAAATTAATGTAAAAGATCCCCCAAAAGCAGAAAATTCACCAATCATTTTACACCATAACAATTACTCAACCCGTTCTCTGTTATGCTTCCCCAGGTAATTGTTTCGGCAGGCACTCTGGTTCTGCATTCAGCACCGTAGACCGGGATCACGACGAATCACCCACTAGGCATTGCGCTAATTACTATGAGTCGGGTTGGTGGTTTAAAAATTGCTATTGTTGCAACCTCAATGGGCACTATTATCTAAACCCTACTGGATACAAAAATGGCGGTGTGATATGGCAGACCTGGCACGGCTACAAATACTCTCTCAAAGGGACTGAAATGAAGATTCGGCCAGTGAACCCCTGATGACATCTTAAAGAGTTCTCCAGTGACCGTTAAGGAAGTTCGTCATCCAACCAGCAAAATTAAACTGTATCAATCCTCTTAAAACACAATAACAAATATATATATATATATATATATATATATATATATATTGCTCGAATTAATAAAATCACTAGCCGTTCTCGCCGCCAACCTCCCCCCCCCCCCAAAAAAAAAAAAAAAAAAATTAATAATAATAATACCTAGCATTCAATATTTAGCTTTACGGTTTAAGAGTATTAAGAAAATAAAAATTAACATAAAACCAGTTTTAAAGAGTTGGACACTTTTTTAATTCTCGTTGATTTCTTTCTTATACATTAAGCATCAATAAACTCGGATTCTCGGATACAAAAATGACATTTCGGAATGTTCAGCAAGAGAGAGTTCTTGCATATCTGATATCTTGCTATTGAGTTCTAGATCTTGTATTCCTCCAGAGTTCGTTAATTTGGGGCCCCTGGTAAAGAATGAGTAAATAGAAAGCAGCTTATATTTCCGAAATTTGCAATTTGATGAATTAACATTTCAGAGAAAGTAAAGTGTTCAAAGTAAAAAAAAAAAAAACATCTAAAAACAGGATGATTATTGGCAATCGGATGCCCGAAAACCCTAATGATCGGAGAGCAAAAACTTCGCTCGCTTGGACAGTTATGATGATAAATTTCATTTCAATCTCAAGGGCCTTTTGGAAAATTAACTGAGGGTACATACCAGTCTCATGACCGAGCCTCTGAAAAGTTATCTGAGGATAGTCGAGACAGAATGTCCTCAAGAATAACAGCTCTGCTCAGATCACGCATCAAGGCTGCATGGTTCATATATGGCGCGATGAACCGCCACAACAATCTAAGCCGCCGCAGTTGTCTTAAAGATATTATGTCCCTTTTGCAGCCTACATCAATTTGTATTTATATATAGATATATTTGTAATTAGACAACATTAATAACCAATCTGTATGTATTGCACTGTAATTTGAATTTTAATGTTAATTTCTTTTCTCGTTTGACACTATAAAAACCCCTCATAAATAGTTCTGCAATTCAAAGTTTGGGCGTTGATATCCCTGTTGTTACTTTATTATCATATCTGATGTTGATAACACTGAAAAGCCTGTTTTATTACCCACTACAATTATGCCCCATTTGTAATGATTATGTAATCATGGGGGTTGCCAATCATTCCTCTGAACAAATGAAGAATTCACGATTGACAATAACGATGCATTTTGCAACATTTAATAACGGGGCCATTCTTTTTGGCCCTATAGTAGGTGAACAGAACATTCCACGATTACATCACTAAAAATGGGGCATCATTATAAAGGGAATAAACACGCTTTCCAATGAAACAAACGTCAAGTACGATACCATACGAACGAGGGAGGTATTAACGCTAAAACGTAAATTAAAAACTCTTTTAAGGGGTTAATATATTATATAATAGTTTGATAATAATACTTAAGACCTTTCTATCAAGGTATTTTCTGAAAGTGCTTAGTGTTATTCAAAGGTTGGTTCTCTGTAAGGGGTCACACCAAACCTCGATGTAGAGTGAACAAAAACAATTTTAGGGCATTAGCATTTATATTATGTAATAATGAGAAAGGTAAACAGCATCTCTGTAATTGGTAGTCGTCTTGTAAAATGTTTGCATTACAACTGTCAACCATTACTATAATTGGCTATTATAATAATTTCTCCTTGTAAATTAATTTGTAAACTTATACCAGTGAAAAACAAATTTTGCATGGATATTCGATACTTCATGTCAAGTTCATTTCATTATAGCACAGTCGAATTATCGAGACCGGCAACAGACTGGCATAACCTGGAATGGCCAAGAATCGGTCAGTTTTGAGTGTATGTCAGTGTGACTGAGGTACGAGGCACTATGGTGCTTCATGGTTTTCTATTATACAACATATTTCTAACTCTCACTCAAATGATTGGTCGACATGAAGTTCACACGTATGATTCATTTACTGAGTCTTTCAAACGTATTCTTATTGAAAAGTGTGCAATAGTTTCCAGTAACTAAAACTGCACATGCATGTGGCACAGCAGTGAGCGTAAAGGTATTTAGAGCACGTATAATGTTTGTGGTGTGGTTATTGGTGTGGGTATGGGTCTGTACTTGCGTATATAGGTAAGTGCGCTGATCTCTGTGTGCCCGCTGAATTAAAATTGAGAATTATTTGTCTGCGATAATAACGGGAAACAATCTTGAATGAAATATTTGTACATCAGATAACAAGGATCTAGGAGATTCGTTGTATTATTGAAACAACTGATGTATGTTTTCAGTTTTCTTTACGGGATCTATCAGTTCTAGATGTGTAGAGGCTGTTTATGCACGTATCGATATTGTATACAGTCTTGACACATGTCAATGTGTCTTTCGACACATCAAGTGTATTTTATACACCGCCATGGACTAATTTACTTAATGTTGTTTACAATTACATATTATATACCTCACTTAAGAAATCCAACCATCTGATTGGTCGAAACTGGAGTCGTGATTTTAGCCATTCCCGTAAATAAATGAAAAGTGCTAAAACCGGTTAATAGTCCATGAGTGAGGTCCCTCAAAATTCCGGTAACCGGGAAAATAATAAAAATTTGCTGCGATACCCAATGGTTTACGTGTTAAAATGTTCTTTGAGCGAGCGCGGACACCATACAGTTCTTTTTGTCTGCTATTCCCAACTGAAGCTCAACAAATTTAACGTTGACATGACGATCTTGCATCTGTTCTATCAGTCTTTCATTCAAAGTGTTCTCCAATTAATCTCATTTGTTTTTATGGAAATCTCACACAAGCAGACAAAACTAAACTCCAACGTCCTAGGAAAATTGCTCAACGCCTTATCGGCATTGAATTACCACCCCTATCAGTTTTGTTTAAAGATCGCTTATTGACTAAAATAATTTCTATTATGAAATACCTATCACATCCACTATTTTCTGGTTTAACTTTTAACCCCTCAGAAATCCACCTGCGTGTACCAATTACCCGTAGATCCAGATACAGAAATTATTTTATTCCAAATTCCATGCACATCTATAATGCCAAAATAACACAAAGGTATCGGCTGTATGTGAAATAATAGCGATATTACCGATTATGACTATTTGTTAACTTTTTCTCTACCCACCCAGTAAAATAAATTTGTAGGGACTGGGTTGGAAAGTTTTCCACCTTATCACATATATCACATTATATATGCACAATAAAATCTTGAATCTTGAATCTTGAATCTTGATCGAAAATTTCAGTCATTTTTCCGGCAAAGATAAACAGACATTTTCTCAGATTTTCTGTGATATTTTAACCAATCTTTACTCAATAAAAGGATAAGGTAAGAATTTTTTGTAGATTTGTGTATCAATTCGGTATATAAAGGGATATCGACTGCTCTAATATTCGAGGACTGGCTGTTTCTGTACTGGCTCTCGGGATAAAAACAGCCAGTCCTCTCGTAGCAGTCGATATCTCTATACTACCATACTGGAATTATAATCTTTTAACTTTTACGATTTCGATTGTTTAGATAAATTTTCAATGTACGGATAGGAAAAATAAAATTCCATCGATCATCTTTTCAAAAAGGAGTAATAGAAATAAACCATTCTCTTTTATGGTGGACAAACTGTATTCCGTTTACTAGTAATAGGTTTCATAGAGTCCTCAAACTAATATAAAATGAATAGCAGTTTGGTTATTCATCCATGAAAGAAAAATCGTTTGATATGGCAGTGGCTAATGGTAGCGATATCAGAAGGCAACACAATTCAATCCTCATTCAAAAGAGATATTGGAGAAAAATGGGGGGGGGGGGTGGGAATTTTGTCATACGGGCCCGGTGTACGGGACAGAATCGCCCATGTGATTATTAGGTTTCTTATCAATCGAAAATACGTATTAGAGTGCGGCTAGAAGTGAAACTGGACAATGCATTGGCTATTACATTTCCATCAGCAACTAGGGGGGGGGAGACCCCTAACGAATGTTGTAAAAGAAGAGATAGAAAGAAGAATGAATGAAATTAATGAGAGAGAGAGAGAGAGAGAGAGGGAGAGATGAGAATCGCATGGAGTTGCATTCTCTCTCCCTATCTTTCTTTCCTTCCAAATCCGTTACCCCTCTTTCTATGCCAGGGCGGAGGGGGAGGATGAGGGGTCAACGGAGCGAGTGCCTTTAAAAAAATAAGAACAATTGCTGACCCTTGACATCAACTGCAAAATATAAGCTGAGTTTAGGGGGAAGGGAACAAGGAAACAACCAATGGCTCAGCCCCCTTCTCTCTCTCTCTCTCTCTCTCTCCCTCCCTCTCTGTTACACACACACACACACACACACACTTTGTCTATCATTTTCCCCTCTCGCTGAAACTCTCTATAATTATCTCGTTTCCACCCCCACCCCGTCTCTCTCGATCCCACGATCTCTTTAACTTTTATTATCTCTCCTCTCTCTCCTACTCTTTTTTTTTTTATTCCTCCTTTTCTTATCTAAATATCATTTATGTAGAATAAGAAGCAAAACAAGAAAAAACATACGAGATGTTGGTACTCGAGTACAACAAAAGATTTCTAATTTTAATATTGTTGAATGTAGGACTTACATGTAGGTTCCCCGCGTAACTGATATACGTGTTCATGTATCAATCAAAGTTGGTTTAAACTGTGCTCAGTTGATTTAAATTTCAATTCAAATCATTTATTTCCAAATTTCAACATCAATTAAAAACTATGTGTAAAAAAAAGTCAATGGGCATTATGAAACTATGACATTTCAATCAAACTAATAAGAAGATAAAAAAACAAAACAAGTAGAGCATTCAATGAGAAACAAGGTAAAGACTACATAACAAAATATAAGTGGATAATTGGGAGATGGCTAACACGATGAAGCCAGGTTTTTGGCTTGTTAGGGTGTGTTCATCTAGTTTGTGTATTTGTTTGTTTTTACATTATTATTATAAAGATTAGACATTAGTCAAACAATACATGAAACATATAACATGAGAACAAAAACAAGAACAACTTAAAA